TCGATTCAATGATCGATCAATGCATCAGCCTAGTTTGCCCGAAACTGGGACGCATGCTGTTCGTGTCGGTTTATGGAGACTGTAAACACTGACGCAAAGCTGCCATTGGAGCTGATCAAAGGGCTGCATTGAAACCATAGCTGATGTGTTCACGGAGTGAGTGAGTTCGTTGTCTGTTCAAAACGCCGCGGTGAGTCCAATAATAGTTTTTTTTCTCGATCCCATTTCATCTTTGGCTCAACTTTGGCTCATCTTTGGCAACAGAAAGGGTCTTCTCTCTTATAGGTTCTCTTCCCTCCACTCCACCCCGTCTCTATGTAAGGGTTGAGTGTGCACTGTGGATGGGTTACTGTGCACGGTGCATTGGACGAGTGCACTGTCCAATTTGCAGTTGCACACGGGAACAACGCGGACGAATGTCTTTTGCAAGGCCTGCTTGGTGTCCCTACAGTTTCCTCTCGTCAGATTCTGGGGAGCAGGGATGCGCCGTCTCCACTGGAACTCTTTGTTCCAAGTATGACCCTCCATGAATGTAATCAGCACAGAGGGGTCGTGTGGCATGGCATAGCGTATGGACAGTCGAAGCAGTCATATCGTTTTCCAACTGTTGCGACGGGCAATCTTCCTGTCATCCTAACCATCTCTTCGCCTAAATATGACGACTATGCGAGATGAGCTACAAACTATTTTTTAGCCGTCAGCGACTGCTGTGTCTTTGCTAACCCCAGCGGGTCGGGCTGTCCTTCCGACCTGCCGCGCCACCCCGTCCGTCGGCTGTCTGACGTCAGACACGGCCTGTCTGTGACGTCACTCTGCCTGCGGGTGACGTCACCGGACCGGGCGCAGGGCCAGCGGCGCCGGCCGCATTTCGCTCGTTCTCGCCTTTGTGAAGACACGGCAGCTGTGAGAGCGGCGCGAGTGTGAGCGCCGGTGTGAGAAGTGAGTGTGCGATCGGCGAGCTGCGCGGCGGGACGACTCACCGGCCGGCCGCCATGGCACCGGCAGAGGGGTAGGTGGGCAGAGGAGCGCCGGCGCCTCCCGCGGCTCTGACCTCGTATGTGTGACGTGGGTGCGACGGCGGAGCGGCCGGCGTCAGCTGTTTGGTATTTACCTTCCTTCCCTGTGCCACTGCCCCTTGGCGTGCTCTTGCACCGAGTCATTCTCCGCAACAGTTTACTGCAGTTTGCTGATAATTTTCACCATTTAAGCGAACACCTTCACAGTGCACAGCTGCCCGGCGCGGCGGCACCCACGCCGGCGGCTGCGGCCGGGCGTCGACTGCTTCCTGGTGCCGAGCCGGAGCCGTCGGGCTGGCCGGTCGGCCCGGAGCGCCGGCCCGCTCTCTATCAGTCCCTGGACGGAGGCAGGAGCCGTACATACTCCCGGCGGCCGGCTAATGACCCACGGCGGCAGCTTTCTCTGAACGGCGCGGCGGAGGTGTGGGGCGCCGGCGGGCTGAGCCAAAATGGACCGGCCGCGCCGCCTGACCGCCGGGACCGGCCGGCGAGCTAAAATGGACCGGCACGCCCGCCCGACCACGCCGCCCGACCGGCCGGCTGGTCGGCTGATCCGGAACGGGTCCATGCAGCCACACCCGGGCGCCGCCGGGTCTGACCGCCGCGCCGACTGGGAGTCGGGAGGGGAGGGGGAGGGGACTGCGGACCCCTGCAGAGGACGAACTCACTGCATCATGCAAATGCACATACAGCTGTGTATTTGCTTGATGAGTGGTTAAGTGTACTGCGCTGTGGATTAATTTAGCGCGCATCATTACACTGGTTGATAGCTCGGTGAAACTGCGTCGCTGTGTCAATTAAACAGTTAACCGCACCAATGCCCTCTCGCTGGCTCACTGAGCAGCGGTATGCAGCTGCAGCCCCCCCGCCCCCTGTCACCGCGCCGTTCGGTCACGACCGGCGGCACCGCCAGGGTCACTGCGGGGTCAGGGGTGGGGCGGCGCCGTGCGCGGGGCTGCTCCGACTGGAACCGGCCAGCTCTGTGCGGCAGGAACCGCGCCGACCGAGCCAAGGCCAGGCTCGAGAGCAACACACGACCATAGTTGAATAGTGTGGGGTGATAAAAGGCTGGAAAAGTAGGGTACGCTCGTGTGATTTTCCGAATAGAATCTGAATGAGTGTCTAGCTAACCGGTGGGATAAGTAGCACAGGCTCAGACGGTGTGACCTGCTATCCACATCCTTTGTATCCGGGCACAGAATCTGACAGCTGGTGAGCGTGGTGTTCAGTGGCAGGTGACAGTCGGGTGGCAGCTGGAGGACAGCGGTGACAGTTTGGTGCCGTCTGTCAGACACCTCCTCGGTCCTCTGGCCGCTGCCGACAGAGCCGCGCCGGTCCGGTGGCGACATGGCGCTTACACCACCTGCCGAGGACCGTGAGAGGCAGTCGGGGACCGGGCGGTGTGGTCGGTGGACCGACACCCGGCCCCGCCAGCCGAACGGGGAGTGAAAGGACCGGCGCCAGAGTCCGGACTCTGTCCAGGGACTCTGTCCAAACTCACCCTGACTCTCTCCTTACGCAGGAGATGCACAAACGGGACTCTGCTCCGGAAAATAGGCTTCCTTTCTATCAAAGCTGAATATGGCGTGGTCCAACTTCGAGTGGCAACACCAGTAGAGCTCCACCTTTAATTTCACAATTAGCTACATTCAGAGCATGACGATTGCACACTGCTCTGAATTCAGGCTGTCTGGGTGAGGTCACTCTACTCTCGACTCGCTCAGACTTCCGGTACCGAAATCAGCACCCCCACACTCTGAATGACTTGACTTGACCCCCACACCCCACACTTGACTGACAGCCCTCTCCTGTGCGGGGCTTCCTTATTTGGCTCTGATGGATCGGGCTCTTCCGTGTTTGAGGAGGCGCGGTGACTCTTCCATGAGAATTTCCCTGATCGTTGGGAGACATTAATCCATAACAATGATCGATGAGGATTTGACAATGTGGGAGACAATCGAAACTGGATAAAACATGCCGCGCTGTCTGCGCTGGGCGCCTCTCCGACGACGGGGAATCATATATGTTTTATATTTACCCGTACGGCCACGTCCTTGCTGTAAACTACCCACAGTTGCCGAAACTACCGGTCACGGCGTGGGAACATCCGTCACTGTGACCAATCTTGACCGGTGCGCGAGCCGCATACCTAATGAGGCCTGTGCGATCATGGACCGTCGCTCTCCCCGGCCGGGCCTCGGCCCCGTCTGTTGCCGGGCCGCCTCCCATGAGAGCTCCGACCCGCAGCCTCCGCGCCCGGCTGCAGCCGCCATGTGATCGTCACGTGACCGGTCATTACCTGGCGCTGCTGACGTCAGCGGTGCTGATCGGCCGCTGAGCAGACAGGAGGCCACTGCAGCAGCCCCAGCCCCCAGCGCAGCGCGGTGGCTGTACTGAGCAGACAGGAGGCCACTGCAGCAGCCCCAGCCCCCAGCGCAGCGCGGTGGCTGCGCGCGGTGGGCGGGCGGCGCCGGCTGGTCTCTGTAAGACTGCCCGGGCTGGGCTGACCCGACTTTGACCGGTGTCACCCGGATCAGTCTGGAGCTCGGTCTGGGATAACTGATCCTGGCCTGGTGGCTCAGGTGGCTGATGTGGGCCCTGTGATAGCGTGGGGTCACCAGATCGAGTCTGGATCAGACATGTTTCCTTCAGCCAAGCATATTGCTATACACTGCTAGAATGCTACAGAAAAAAAAAATTGAGAGAAAGCAATTCAAAAAGGAAGGACCATGCACTGCATTCTCAGTTTTATCTGGAATTACAATGTGCAGCTCGTGGAAGGCTGCTGTTGCCAGTTTCCGCAGCAGTGCGGGTCTTGGCCCCGGCGTTGACCGGCGGCTGCTGGTATGCGGTGGTATCGGACTGCGTGAGGCGGCGGCCGGCGGGGAAAGCCGTGCCGGGGGAGGGTGTGCTCCGCTCCGCGCTGGGCGGGGCGGGGCGGCCGCACTTTCCCGAGGTCGGAGCTTGCTGCGCCGACACCAGTACGGCGCGGGTGGGGCGCAGGACTGTGTGGCTGACCAGGGACGGACGTCTGTGGTTGATTGTGTGACTGACGGGGTCTGGCTGACCGAGTAGGCTGCAGCCATGGTGTCGGTACGTGTGTGGGGGACGGTCGGTGTGTCGTGTGTTTCTAGGACCCGGCGTGTTCTCAGTGTACGGTGTCTTGATGGTGGACAGTGTGTTCGTAGTGAACGGTGTCTTGATGGTGGACAGTGTGTTCTCAGTGAACGGTGTCTTGATGGTGGACAGTGTGTTCGTAGTGAACGGTGTCTTGATGGTGGACAGTGTGTTCGTAGTGAACGGTGTCTTGATGGTGGACAGTGTGTTCTCAGTGAACGGTGTCTTGATGGTGGACAGTGTGTTCGTAGTGAACGGTGTCTTGATGGTGGACAGTGTGTTCGTACAGCAGAGTGTAACGAGATAAGACTGAGCAGACATGAGACAGCGTGAGATGCCGTGGGATGGTGAATAGGTTAGTTGGGGGCGGGCAGAACAGCCTTGATGAATGAACTCGAATAACGGACGTTCTTGACCATCACTGTTCGAAAACCAGCACAGAGCCCGAGGATTATGTGTCTGCTGACCCATAATCGTAAACCTTTGGCCGCTGACCGCTAGCCGTTCCCCGTGTTCGCTGTTCACTGACTGTTACCCCGTTCATTGTTCTCCGACTGTTCTCTCCGTGTTCGCTGTTCGCTAACTGCTCCCCGTATTTGCTGTTCGCTGACCGTGCTCGCTGGGTGTAGCCGCTGTCTGTCTCAGTGTGACCAATTTTCGCTGTTCGCTGTTACAAGCTCCTTATGACGAGATGTGGTGCTTATTTTGGCAAACCATTCTCATCCGCCTCAGATTAGGGCGTCTGCCCCAATGATTCGATATAGTTCGACCAATCTAACATGACCCCCGCGAGTTGTCTACTCTGATGTGACCCTGAGTAGCGTCTCCGTGACCCCGTGTGACCTCGGTCTGACCTGACCCCGGCAGATGGGTGGAATGTCTGACGAGCTGCGGCGGGCACTCTGCTCCAACTCAATGACTTCCATGGACATGGAGTTTGTGCCCGACCTGATCGGAAAGTCCGAGCTGCTCACCGATGATATTCGGAAGAAACTCTGCAAGAAAATCCCGCCCCGAGTCGAAGGTAAGACAAGTGTGGCAGGAACAGGTGCTTGGGAAATGGGTCATACATGTGGTAGGCTACACAGAGCGTTGCGAATGCATTGTTTAGTAACGTTTGCAGTATGGGTCTACAGAGGTTTAGCCGATAGGTATTCGCTGAGCCCCATTGCATTCCTCTGCGGCTGGGCTGCGACATTCCAGGGATCTATTGGAGGGGCATTAGCGGCGATCGGTCGGAGCGGCGGTCCGTGCGGTGCGGATTACCCGGCAGCCGTGCCGCCCATCACACCGATCACCAACTGCCCCACTGACGTCACGCTGACGTCAGCGGGGGCGGGCGGCCGACACGAAGGGCCGGCGGCGCGGCTAATATAGGGGCCGCCCGGCCGGCAGACGGCGTCCTCTCGACCTTGGCGCTGCCCAGTGGGCACCGTGCAGCCTCCTGCTGCGTGTCATGGGATTGTCGGACAGTTTTTAGTGTCCATCGTCTGATCGGGCCCCAGCATAAGCCGGATGCGACCTTGATTGGTCGTAAAGTCTGCTGTCAGCTATTTGCTTTCTCCCGGTATATTGTTGAGCGGTGTTTGTGATAGGAGTAAAGTTGCATTGATCGGGGTATTTGTGACCATGCTGCAAGGCTGCAAACTGTCGTCTCTGTCTGCAGTTATGAGGTGTTGGGCTATTGAAGTAGGGAATACCGATACCGAGTCCGGCTGCAACTTTATTCGAGCGTCGTGAGACGACCTTACAATGTCACTGTAGCGACGGGGTTTCATGGCAGACTGTATGGTGCGTGGAATGTGGATCTATTCCAGCTCATTGTTCCCGGCACTGCCGTACTGCTCATGTTGACTATGAGACCGTGCTGGCCATTGCCCCGTTCCATGACCGACCTTGCCTTGTTATCCGCATCATTAATGAGGATTATCTGATGCACGGTTGTACGCTCTTTAGAGATAGCTGAAACAATAATGGGCATTCCATGCCGCGCCGTCCGACGCCGGGACACTGAGCAGGGTCGATAGAGTAGCGATCCTTCCTGTCCGCTGGCAGGGGATCTGTTTGTCTCTGTCGCTGTTCGCGTGGGTGGTCTGAACGGAGCACTGTGAGCCGTCGTTGGCCGAGCTCCAAATCAGAGTGCAGAATCCGCTCCTCTCTTAGCGAGCCTTAATCCTGTGTTTTGTAACATACTATAAATATTGCCAAACAACATACCAGAGTGATGCGCTAAGATGCATTTGCCTGGTGTATTGCCAGTGTTTAGATGTCTTCTTTTAAATTCACTTCCCATAGAATCGTTTCCAACCCTCTCACCTACCCCACCCTGTCGTTAGTATAGACGTCTGCCGTTTCGTCTGTCGTTCGCTGCTGTCTGACGCCCCCCCCCCCCTCCTTCCCCCCCACAGGCCACCCGTGGTCGCTCATTTTCAGCTCGTCGGAGCACGGCTTCAGCCTGAAGTCGCTCTACAGAAAGTCGTCCGCCTACGAGTGTCCGATGCTGCTGTTCGTGCAGGACACGGACGAACAGGTGGGTAGCCATAGCGGCGACGGGAAGACTGTTGGCCGTGTGTCGGACGGGGCTCGTATAGTCTCTCTTGAAAGTATCGCGTCCTGGGCTGCGGTGGCTCAGCGAAGTATTCCTTTCAGTTTGAGGACCTCAGGTAGGGAGGTCATGGCCTGTATCATAAAAAGTACGCGTAACACGATTTCACGCCAGCGGTAGAAGGAAAACTGCTATATGACGCAGGCCCCAGCGGCTGACAACTGGGTCAAAACAGGCGGAGGCCGGCCAAAGGTCATGCTCGTATCGCTCTCCCTTGACCCCGTCCACCGCCCCAGGCGGATACCGGTGCCTCTTTGGCTCACCAGCCGGGCATTGGTGTGCCTTACTGGGCGCCAATCACTCAGTGTGCGTGACGCGTAAAATCACAACGAAGCGAAGTTCCGCCATAACCCTTACTGTGATGAGGCCTTCTGAATGACGTAAACAGGTCATGCGGGGGAGGGGGAAGCTTGGCATCAAATAAGTTTTTAAAAAGAACATGGCTGAACAGCATTTCTTTTCTTTTTTGTCGCCGTTCACTAACCGGCTCATTAAAAAGAGAGAACTTCAAATATAGGACTAAATGGCTAGACACAGACAGCGAATTGGCGAACTGGCTAGAGAGATAATTCTTGTTTTTAAATCCGCTCACGGGTGTATGTGCAAGCACGGATGCATTCTGTTAGCGGGTGCAACTGATGATTTTTTAGGTATATGGGCACGGGTTTCCGGATTTTACCCCCCCCCCCCCCCCCCAAAAAAAATGTGACAGTCGTGCCGATGACCAGTCAAATTGCTAACTTTGCAATGAAACAAATCTCAACAAATCCTCTGCGATTAGGGTGGCTTCCGTTGACCACATGCTGACTGCCACCACAAGTTACCGGATGGCGACTGCCACCTCCCCTATCCCTCCGCAAGCCGCAACCACTCCCCTCGGCCCGCCGCGCTGGCTGCCTCCGCGTGTCAGACTTCGGTCAGTGCTACCAGCGGCTCTCAAACTTTTCCGCTCAACCGCGGCTGGGACAGGTGGCGCCTTCCCTTAGAGTCGCGATACTTTCAAGAGAGACTATACATACATGAGACACGTCTGTGGGGTGGCTGACGTGTTAAATCCTCGTAGTGCGCCATGTTTACATGATTGAGACATACAACTGTGAACTGGACTCTGAGCTGGGGACATTTCCACATACATATCGACCTTAATCAGGGTTATGAAATTATAACAAAGGTGTCGTCCTTGAACTCCATGAGTTACTGAACCATAATGGTCAGTTACGTAGAGACATCAGATCGTCCTCTAATGATTTTATTTCCTAATCACCCGGCGTTGTCGGACTCTCAAGTTCGATGTGAACCATGTACTTTTTCCTACGATCCCGTTTTCCGACTGACCGAGTGGCTGGATGCCGGATGAGATTTCCCAATTGTGGTCGCCGCTGCTACTGCGGGCCCCCGGTGGCCGGCGCCCGCGGTGGGCCCCTCTGTGGCAGACCGCCCGCTCTCCTGGAGGCCAGTGTACGGGATTAGCTGTGCACGAGGGGGACGGAGGGGGGGGCTGTTTTGATGCAGCCCTGGCCGTCAGTCAGCTGGGGTTCTGTTTCAGATGTGCCGGTAGGTACTCTGCTGTGATGTTTGTAGTTATCGAATCACGAATTCGTGAAGTATTGGGTATTGGGCTATATTTGTCCGTACTGTGCTCATGGCTACTTTTGCCTTGGGAGTGACGTCAAAAAGATGAAAGGTCGACGTGTGACCGCTGACCTGACGCTATTGTTTTGTCCTCCGGCCGCGGTACCGCGAGGTGAAAGCTCATTGTCCGTGGCTGTTGTGTGCTGCGGTTGGTGGGTGTCCGTGTTTTTTGGCGGTATTGTGGTGAGATGACCACCGATCAGCCTAGCACATTGCGGGGGCGCCGCACCTGAGCTGCGGGCAGATAGGAATACAGAATCCAGTTGGAACCAGTACCCATTGCGAGTCCACCTCCACCGCTGTCCGCTATCTCCCGCCCGTAGTACACCAATTCCATGAACACCTCTAAAAGTAACGGTTTTACTCCAATCTCGCGAGATTAACTTTATGGTCGGTGACAAAACGGTCAGCATTAGGCCGACCATTTCGTACAGCGTCCATTGTGCGGTGTTTTCGTACCTCATTGTTATTCCGCGCCGACTGTGGTGGCAGACGGCGACATTGGGGTCAGGGAGTGTCACTAGGACTGCGTGCTGATACAATCGGCCGTCCTACCGCCCTGACCTGTCCCCGGACCAAGGACAGGCTGTATACAGCTGCCAGCTAGTTCCCCTTTACCGCGCCCGGGGCGGTCCCGTTTCCCGGAGCGGGCGGCGCGCCGGTGAATCGCCCGCGGACTATCTCAGAAACCGACACCGGCGATTGATGGCGGCCTTCGCCGTGAAACGTTTGTTGTCTTTGGACTGTTATCGGCCACTTCATCTCTTCCAAAACTGTTCTTCAGTTTAGGGTTGTGTCCTTAGAATCTCGGTTTCAGGAAGGATGTTGTGTGACAGCGAGGTTCATTGTCTTCCGCACTGACCTCACTCGGCCGATATTATTCAAATATTACCATGGCATTATTTATATTGACGTCATTTGTTCCTGTTTCTGCAGATTTTCGGCGCGCTGTGCTCGACGCCGATCCACATGAGCGAGCACTACTACGGCACCGGTGAAACGTTCCTCTTCACCTTCCACGAAGGGTTCCGCACGTTCGCGTGGAGCGGCGAGAACCTGTACTTCGTGCGCGGCTCGCCGGACGGACTGGAGTTCGGCTCTGGAGAGTGAGTATACCGCGCGCGGCACGGCTCATTAGGCTGGCATACTGTGTTCGTGTGGTGTGTATCTCTAATAGACAGACCGCATCGATGAACATATTTGTTATGATTCTGGCTATAATCAGCGATGATTGTTTACTTTCCACTGTGTTTATGGCTGCGTAGTTGTTTTATTGCGACGCAGTAAGACTGGCGATGCGTAATTATCCTTATCAAGCAGGTGTGTTAGCAAAACCATCATCATGAACACTTGCGGTCAGTTGGATGGAACTCTCGCCCATATTTTCGGACCTTGAACTGTGCTGTAAACAAGACTGCGTACACATGTCAGCGTTTATGAATTCCAGTCGGACGCCGACCAAGCAACAAAAAAAAAAAATAATTATCAGTCGATTTGCGTTTACCTTTTGACCTGACCTCTCTTGCCTCTATGGACTTACCCTGACCCTTTTCCCTGTTACAGCGGCCACTATGGCCTGTACCTGGACGACGACCTGACCTCACCTGACCTTTGTTACATCGGCCACTACGGCCTGTACCTGGACGGCGACCTGAGCTGACCTGACCTCTTACTCTCTGTTTTACAGCGGCCACTACGGCCTGTACCTGGACGGCGACCTGTACCGGGGTCGGACCCAGCGCTGCCTCACCTACAACAACGACCCGCTCACGGGCTCCACCGACTTCATCGTGCGCGCCGTGGAGCTCTGGGCGCTGACGTGAGCTGACGGCGCGGAGCTGAACTGAGCTGAGCTGAGGGAGCCGGGCCGCGCCTCGCCGGCCGGCGCCGCCTCGTCAGGGTCCTCCCGGATCCCCCGGCGCCGGATCCCGCGGACACCAGCCTCCCGCCGGACCCCGCCGAGCCGCGGGCCGCCGTAGCGCTTGTGTCCTAGATGCCTTGTGATCTTTTCTGTACAAAGAGCGGGCGGAGGCGGCGCCGGCCGGCGGGCGGGCGGCGCCGAGCAGGGCAGAGCGACACACTCAGAGTATATTTTGTCTATGTCCTGAGAGAGAGACAAAGAGGCGGGGACGGCGGCCGGCGGCGCTGGCCGTTTTGTAAGTGCTGCGCGCGCACGTAGGCCGGTAGGGGCTCCGTGGGGGCCGCGGTAGAGGCGCTGTGATAGTGGGTGGTGCTAGCGGCGGCGGCGCCGGTAGCGCGCCCTAGTGCTCGCTCTCGGTGTCGTGTCAGTTCGCGGCCGGGGCCGCTGGTAGGTCCCCTCCCCTCCCCCGCCCCGCCCGAGTACCTGTTGGCTGTCGCGCAGCGCGGCGGCCCGCCCCGCCCCGCCCCGCCCCAGACCCTCCGCGCCGCTGAGCCGGCGAGAGGGTGCCCTCCAGTCGAGTCGGGCTCTGCTGCCAGCCTCCCCGACCGACCGCCCGCCGCTGACCGCGCGCCGGCGGACAGGCGCGGCCGGCGCGTAGCTGCGTGGCGTCATTCCAGGTGCGCGGGCGTGGGCGGCGGCGCGGCGCGCTCCCCGACTGTGGTGTCTCTGTTTTGTGCGTGAGGTCGTTCCGTGTCGGACGCAGGCATCGAGCGGCGGCGGCCGAGTCGTGCTCAATTCTCACTCGGCGCCGGAGGGCGCCGTGCAATACGTGTTCCCGGCCAGAGGGCGGGCAGGTGGCGCCACCTGCCGCCGCGCGCCGCCGGCTAGACAGCCGCGCCGCTGCGGCCTTTTCACCGAATAGAAACTGTTAGTGTGTGTATATACGTGCTTGTGTTGTTGTTTGTACTGTAAAAGTTGACAGATATGCTATGAACGATACATAAAGGATTCACTGGTGGCTCCGAGTTTGTGATGCGGCGGTGGGATCGTTTGGTGATGGACGCCAGTCGGTTCGGCTCACGGGACTGTAGTAGTTACATACGGATGATTTAGGTCTTCTGCTTATTGCTGTGCGGGTTTTCTGTCGGTAGTACAGAGCCGGTTGTCCCACTTTTTCAATCAGCTGCATTTGGCAGCTTGAACAGATCCATCTGTCAATCCATCATTGAGTGATCCAAAACGAGACGAGACGGTCGTCTGTGGCCTGTTTTAATGGAGAACCGCTGCACCTTTCGTGTGTCCGCGAGTGGTCGCTACTAGAGCACAGTCATCTCTTACCCTAGCCCGTATTGGCGTCTTGCCAATACATTACCGTCTTGCCAGCCGCTAATGTATGGGGGATAAGTCTGTTCATGTTGGACCACCCCCCCCCCCCCCGCCCTCAACCGTTCGGCCTATGACCGAGCTAGAGCTTCGCGGAAACGAAAATGCCGTGCTGCCCGTGACAAGCGGAAGCTGATAACCCCAATCTTAAGGTCCTAGATATTAGGTTGGCTTCCCTGGTCAGGTCAATGAGTAAAATATCGTGGAGCTCGGGACCTGATAAAACTTTCTAATGGCAGGTCGTTCTGTTTTTTTTTTCGGGGGTCCTGATTCGTCAGTTCATATTAGATTTAATCGAAGATAATGCATTCATACTTTTAAGGTAGGTCGGATCAGGTCAGGTCCATTAGTAGGAGTTCGGCCAGATATCCACACCTATCAGGTGTTAACCCGCGCCGGGCCAGGGGAGGGGTGTTTGAACACCCCCCCCCCCTGCGGTTTTTCGCAGATACCTCAAAAACGGCGGCGCGGAGCGCCGTCTTTTTTGGCACACCTATTCGTGCATCTTTTCCGCACATGTTGTGAAAATTACAGACCCAGGTCACCTTAGGTCAGGTCACCAGGTTACGCCAAGTGACCACCTCAAAAAGAATAAGAATGCTCGTCATAGCTACACCGATTGATCGATTGCCTTGAAACTTTCAGCGATTGATTAGAGCAACATTATCTATAAAACGTCTATCTCGGAATTTTGATATCGGTGACTAAAGGTCAGGTCAATTTTGCGGCCTCTCCATTATAAGTCAATGGGATAAAATTTAAAAGCGTCTGTTTTGCACGAACGCTATTCTAGACACTCTCAAACATCGAGATGTAGGTAAAATTGACACACTGAACCGAAAAATGGCAACTGTGACCCCCCGTTATGTCCCCGAGGTCATCTCAGGTCACGTTTTTCGCTAATAACTTCTGATAGAGGCATGCTAGAGCGCTGAAAACGTCTTAGATGTGTTCGGCTCGACGTTGCGGATCGACTAATATGCAACATGACCTTTTCCGGTCAGGTCATGACCTTGACCTGAGGTCAAATTTTCAAGTTGACCTTTCAAGGTCAAATTATAGTTCATTCGACGCGTATCGACGAGAGGAACACGATGCTGGCAAAAGTAATGTCATGGCTCTTTTGAGTCAAAAGTTATTGCCGAAAAAACGTTTTTGGTAAAAACGGCTATTTTTGGAGTTTTTGCCCTCTGGAGGCTAAACCGTTGGCCTGAGGTCAAATCTGAGAACATTATCCAGAAAGGTCTGTAAAAGGGCTAGCGAATGCGCTTTTCCGCGGCGCTGTAGCTCTATCGGTTCCCGAGATAGCCGTCGGCAGTTTCCAAAATGTTCAAATAGTCAACATTTTACCTTTGGTGACCTCTGGTGACCTGACCTTTGACCTGACCCAAAAAATGACCGAGTGTTTTCGTCCTGATTTTGGACGTTATTTCGATTGCCGCTTACTGCGTGTCGCTACGTGGCCCAGGAGCCGAGTTAGAGTTAGAAGGGGGGTGTTCAGACACCCCCCCGGCCCGGCGCGGAATCTCAGAGCACCGGCCCGGCGCGGGTTAACCATCACTGACGGCTTCGTAACATGCTGCCTAAAATAGGTAGGTGCTTCTCAAATCTTCAATTTGGTCTCAGATTTGAAATCAGCTCCAAAAACAACCCTCAATCGTCTTAAAACTCAAGTCACTCGAGGTCACCAAAGGCCCTATCTTAACTTGACCTTCACGTGACCTTGACACCAACCATAATGCATGGCAGCAACATTCAACATCATTGCACATGTTGGCATGTTTCTTCTCACAGGAAGGAAAAGCACGGATAATGTGCGCTGACACTCCGGATTGCCATTCTGGCCTGACATGGTCTCGAGAAACAGGTCGCTGGTCAAACGTCGTTTGGGCCAGTATCATCAAATGTTTAGGATATGTGTAGAATTAGTCATACTGAGGTTATTGATAGTTTTGTTGCGAACGGACGCTTTTTACGCGAGATATTCGCGTAAAGTCGAGGGCGTCCATCATACTTGTGCTCTGCGGAACAGCATACAAGCAGGCGCAACTTGCTGCTGCCATCTAGCGGCAGTTTTGTAAGTAGCCTGCGCTGCGGAACAGCATACAATCAGGCGCACACTGCTGCTGCCATCTAGCGGCAGTTTTGTAAGAAGTATGCGCTGCGGTACAGTATACAATCAGACGCACACTGCTGCTGCCATCTAGATTCTAGTGGCAGTTTTGTAAGAAGTATGCGCTGCGGTACAATATACAATCAGGCGCACACTGCTGCTGCCATCTAGCGGCAGTTTTGTAAGAAGTATGCGCTGCGGTACAGTATGCAACCAGGCGCACACTGCTGCTGCCATCTAGCGGCAGTTTTGTAAGTAGTATGCGCTGCGGTACAGTATACAATCAGGCGCACACTGCTGCTGCTGCCATCTAGTGTCAGTGTTGTAAGTGGTTTGCGCTGCGGCACAGCATGAAGGACGATTTTCTTCTATCAGTCGGACATAACGTTAGCCATGACAGCCAGGTTGTTAGTTAACCAGCGGGATCCTGTCGGCTTTACGAGTATGTTTTCGATGATTATACTTTCGATGCTATTTCTCGTTGCGGTTTCACCATGGATACTATTTTCATAGCGAGGCAAGATCAATGTTCTTTATTAGAGAAGTAAGTTCATTAAATCGGACTTCTGCCCTCGGACTTGAAAGAAGTACCTAGACAAACATCCTCCACAACCGGATTGCAGGTGAAAAAAAAACAGTGGTTGTCAGCGTCTCATGCTACTGTGCATTTGCTATGTTAATTCCATTGTGTTCCATTATAGATCTCACTTCTTTCCCTTTGTCGCCCATTCCATTTTCTCCAATCACCTTCCGATTCCTCCTTTTTCTTCTTTCGTCTTTCTCATCATTCTCTTTTCCTTCCTCCTCTCCCCTCCTCTGTTTCCACAGCCCTCTCCTCTACCCCTCTCTCCCCCGTGGTGGTCCGCCTTCGGCTGTCCCCGGCTCGGCGCGCCGCTCTTTTTCCGCCTGTCTGCCGCACTTTCTGGTCGGCGCGGCTATTTATCCAGCGACGGCGAGCGATCGTAATTTGATTTCTGACTGGCGAGCCTGTTTGTTTGCGGACTGTTCGGTCGGTAATTAGCCACGCTGAGCCGGCGTGGTGGCCGGGGTCAGTCGGCCCGGTCCCCGACGGTGATACAGAGCAGGGTGACCAGCAGACGGGCGCCGTGCCCGTCGTCACAGATGGATGGACAGAAAATGTCAGATAGAATATTGCTCAAACGGCGCAGGCTCTTGAGAAACACGCATTGTATTTTTTGTGCACACTTATTATGAACCATACACACTAATGCGAACAATGGTTTTGGGTAATCTGGTTCAATGTAGTTCAAACTTACTATTTTAACGGACATAATAATAAGCTTCAAACAAGTGAGCAGAGAAAGGCAGTGCAAGTGCACTTCCTTACTTTATAATTGACTAATCAAATTAAAAACAAAACATAACGCAAAAAAATCAAATCAGCTGGTATAAGCGATGCACGAGACTGCAAGAACGTTTGCTTCTTTTTCGTACTAAAAAGTTATATCAATCAATATTGCTTTTATTTTACACATTGGCTAAAATACGTTATAGCAAATTGCTTGCCTCGACGTTATTTCACAACGTTCATTTTTTTTTGCAGGAGTGGGGAATCAAGCCATAGGGGGCCTTCTCAAGGTGCCGCCGCCAAGATAAAGCTTACGGGCTTTGGCCCATTTTTTGGAAAAGGGCCCAATTTGACAAAAAAGGTGAAAAAATCATTTATTTTGTATCTTGGGTGATTGTGGCCCTGTCCTATCTTCCCAGGCTGTAGAAAGGGCCCGGGCCAAAGAGGGCCCATGCCACGTCTGAGAGGGCTCATGTAGAACAATTTACAAAAAATAACTTTTAAGCGAATTTTTAGGTATGCCATTTAGAAAATTAGGCGAACCAGTTGGGATTCGTAGGGTTCAATTTCATAAAAGTAACGCATTACGATGGAAACTATTTCTGCTCTACGCTTGGTTCTTTACGCATGGATTACTGTGGATGGGTGGGAGGAGCATGCGTCAGCACCTGACACGCACATTGTTCGACTGAGCTTAGAGCGAAATACGTACTTGTTTCCAGCAGCTGTCACAGAAATGAGCACATTACGTCTGGCAGCAAGCCTCTTCCGATAAGTGCCGCCTCACGGGCTACTAAGCTGGCAGCTCGCCGAGCCAGACACACGTGGGTGTGATCCGCAGACTACTCCAATTAACCCCTCCCCTGCCCCGGCCTTATACCGACCATCGCAGCGGTCTCCTTGTCAACGGCACGGCAGCGGCGTCACTGATCGGCCAGTTGCTGCCTGTCAGAATCCTCGGGAAAGCTGCGAGTGCGAAAGAGCGATATTATTTAGGTGCTTGCCTTAAAACGCGAGGCAGAAGCCTACATAAGCCTTTTGGCTGTTGAGCTCATATCGTTGAGAGGTAATAAACTGTTGATTCATCCATCCCAGTGCTCTACTGTGTCCACTACTCCTTGGCCGGACCTCGGTCACGGGCCAGTCGGCACTGCAGTCCGGCTGTGGACGACCCCCTTGGATAGGCGAGCGGCGCCGTCCAGGCGTCCGCCGGCCGACACTCCGTGGTCACTAATATTCAGCGGACGGCCAGACGGGCCGACATTAGCGCTCCGGCGCAGCCCGAGCGTAAATGAACGCCATCAATTAGTCACACTCACATTTGCTTTAAGTACAGGCGCGACGGCCGCCGACGCCCCTGGTGTGACCGCCCCGGCGGCCGGCTGCCCTCCGCTGGTGACAGGTGTCCACCGCACTGGACTGTGGCCGGGCCGCCTCACACCGTCCTCCGGCCCGGCCAGCCGCTCCGTCCGTTTTGTCGCCCCAAGTTTGCGCCGTTCGCTGATTGCGCCGGCCCCACACGGGCAGACGTGATTTAATTGAGATTCCTGACAGCCAGTTAGCGGCTCGGCCGATCAATCGACGCCATTTATCAGAGCCGGCCGCCGGCCGAGCGACTCACCCGGCCTCATCGGCGTCATCGGCGAATAATTGCTAATTTGGCACGGCTTGACCGGGTGGCGCGCGCGGTCGGCGGGGGGTGGCGCGCGCCGCGCCGCGCCGCCGGCCCTCCTGAAGACGGCGCTCCGCGCGCCAGTGACAGGCACGCCGGGCGGCTACGATGACGGGAGCGGCGGCGGCGGCGGCGGCGGTCTGGTGGATGGCAGTGGTGCTGGGAACGGCCCGAGGAGCCCTGGCCAGCAGAGGTAGGTGGCGCTGGCAGACAGCCTCCTCCGGCTGAGGAGCTGAGAAACCAGCTTGGTGGGGAGACGTATAATGAGGAGATGATGGGAGCTGCATGGAATCCGATAAGGAGTTGTGGAGGAGTACGAGGACTTGTTTTTTATATTAAGTTGCTTGAATGTTCGCGTATAGACGTATTGACAGAGCTGGGGGCCCATGCTTAGTAGACCTTTGCGCTCGACCCTTTCCGTTGGATCCGATCGAGTGATTCTGGGTATCTAACGAGAGAATTACGATACCAAAATTTAATGTGGTCATCAAAACCGGACGGACACACACGGCCTGCCCCACTCAACGGACTTTACTGGCTGCGGCTGCTCCTACCAACCACGAACCATCCTCGCCAGAAATCTCATGTATCGAGCACCGGAGCGACTCGAACTCGAGCTCTCACTTACCGCACGAGCCTAACGTTTCCGAATTTTGGATACATAAATTAACATAAATATGTGACATTGTTGAATTCAGTGACATCCGAAATTCTAGCATAAGAAAAGTACGAAACTTAACGACTTTTAGACAGGATAATGCCTTGAATTGCTGCGTGCCGCAATGGAAATCCATCCCCACGTGCTTCTCGAAGCTCCGAGTGTAGGCCGGTTGCAGAATAGAGTCAGAGAAACTATGCAATACCTGGTCTAATTCAATAGGTATACCCTGATACCTGGCACAAATCCGAAACTTTCTGCAATCCAGCGCGTGGTTGTTCTTAACTGCGTGCTTACCGGTACTCCTATAAAATTGCCATTGTATGCAATATGCATGCCGGGCCACCTAGTGGGTCGCACTGGTGGATCCAAGGTGGCCGTTTGAGGTGAATGCCCCCTTGCAACGCCAGAAATAGATGAAATTAAGAGTTTTGTAGAATAGGAAGAAAACTAAACGATCTTTTTTAGGAAAAGTTGTTTCAAATCACACAAAAGTGCATAAGGAATCGAAACCTGAGTAGTTTTTTTTAATTTTGGAAGCCTTTTTGGGGGTATACCCCGCAACGCCCGAAATAGTCTTTCTGGATTCGCCTATAATTCTCGACACTCGACAGTCATGCTAACCAGGCACTCTTATGCAAGTTCTTCCCTCCCCAGCCGAGAAGGGGGGGGGGGGGGAGGGTGCCACCCACGTTCTTCGCTTTAACCATTGGTAACGGCAAATTATAGATAATATGTAGCAGGGTTTCGGAGTCGTGGAAGTGCTCTTCCGACTCCGACTCCGACTCCGACTCCGGGTTACTGACCGACTCCGACTCCGACTCCGACTCCGACTCCGACTCCGGGTCTGATAGGTACAAAGGACAATGGTGGCTGCCAAAATTCCGCGTGATATTACGCGCCATGTTAGGTCTACAGGGTGTCCGGAAAGTCCTGGCGCTTTGCAACATTTTTAAAATAAATGCCTTTGCTCCATAGATTCTCAACAATAGAACAAAACAATGACCAGGAACACCAAGCCACATGCTTTTGCTAAGTGCCCATTCATTGTAACCACCGTCTGTGCCGACGACGGCCTCGACGCAAGGGCGGAAACGCCTGCGGGTTTTGACGATGCAGGACATTTCATGTCCTCCAATGCTGTCATGATGCGAGTCTTCAGCGACTTCAGGCTGGGATGAGAGGTGGCCGAGAGCTTATTCTGCAAAACGTGTAGCATGCCTCAGTCGAGCGGGTTAAGGCTGGGATAATAAGGTGGCCTAATCTCATTTCACCACGGTGATCCGGTCCGTCGAGCTCCTCTGTCAGTTTGGTTTGGACGGCAGAGGCGTTGTTGGAGCTGTTGAAGTCGGAAATAACCCTTAGGGCAAGTCGCCTTGATTGTCGTGTCCAGGAACCCCTCGTGGACCAGCCTGTCAGTCATTGATTTGACCTTGACGAAGATGATGGAACATTTGTGTCCATCAGACCGAAGATTTTCTTCGATTGCCGTTGAAATGCTGCTTCAGTCTCAGCAGCTTTGGCATCCGTGGTCGTAACTGAGTGAGAATATTTTCTAAGAAATTTCCGATCCAGAATGCACCTTTGTCTGCTCAACCGTTCGCCGAGAAACGCCGCATCGCGCTGCAACTCGCGCCTCGTTCAAGGCGCACCGGGCCCCCGCGCGCGGGCTCTCAGAGACAAGACGCGTCTTCGCCCATATACCTACCTAGCACTGAAAACGGTTTCAAGGTCATATTTACGCAACCCCTAGCTGAGCAGTGAAGGAGGGGTCATATCTGCGGTGATTGGTTGAAAGTCCAAGAATCACAGCGCTCGTTAGACGACGTCCAAAAGAGGCGCCAGAGCTTTCCGGACACCCTGTTCGCGCACCGGGAGATCGCTACAGTTTCGTTCATGCGGTCACCATTTCTCCCACGTGGACGCAGCTGAATCCTTAGAGACCAGCGGCCGGCGGCCAGCTTGACAATGACAACCCGCCGAGAAGCACGAGTGTGGCCGTATCATGACCACGGGCATCGCCATCATGTCGGCCTGTGTTTTTGTTAGGCACTTTTCGGAGCGATAAAAGAAGAAAGCACATATACAGGGTGTCCCAAAAGTAAGGTCATCATTTGTTTTGGCCACACCGCCAAAAATACGCGATGGATAGAAATAAATAGGACATCATATGAAAGAGCATTTTATAAAATTTTATTCTGATATACATATGAGTCAATACATTGGCTCGTAGCCCCACATTTGCTGCTTTTCTGCATGGCTACCATTTCGGGCCGCGTGCACGAATAGACTGCGTTTTACTTCCTCCACTATTCTGGAGCGATTCTCTGGTGAGATGCCGCTTATGTTTGCTCGGAGGGATCATCCTTTAGTTCTTCCCGGCTCGCTGGGTTGTCCTAAAAGACAACCTTTCCGTTGTGTACCCAGAGAATAAAAATATGAAGGTGTAACGTCAGGTGACCGCGGAGGCCATCCAATGGCGTTGCCCTGACTGAAAATTACGCGATCTCACATCCACTCTCGGAGACAATGCATGATCTTTAGGACGGTGCAAGCATAGTCTCCATCCTGCTGAAACCACTGCTGGTTGATGGTGTCGGCACAGCTGCGTTGCGACGAGCGGAAGAACCACTGGGAGGACTCTCGGCCACCTCTCTTGATTTATTTTCACCCGATTCCCGCTGTCGTCCTCAGGACCTCGAAGCACAGGTGGCTAAGTATACATGCCCTGTGCGTACATTAAACCTTTTTTCTGACGTTCTACCGGTTGAGGCGAAACTATACATGAGTTCAGAGATAGGGCGAGTTGATAGGGTCTGCTTAGGGCCGAAAACTGGGCGGTATTTACCCTTTGTTTTAATGACGGACCCTCTCTAAGAGTTGAAATTCGACCTTCTCAGTTTTATGCCTACTGCTCGGTGTAGTCAAGGCGGTGTTATATAATACTGAACGAGGCCGGTGTAAATAAATTTTCAAGACCGAGGTCCTTACTGGATTTTTGAACGAGGCCGAAGGCCGAGTTCAAAAATCAGTAAGGACTGAGGTCTTGAAAATTTATCACCGGCCGAGTTTGGTATGTATTTTACTGTATGCCAACGATAAATTTATTTTCTGGACCGAAGCTCTTAGCCGACTTAGGAACGAGACCATCCCAAAATGCTGGCTTAAGTGCATTCTGGTAATGCATTTTTGACCGTGGTCAATTTGCTTACACCAGTTATTACCACACCCCTGTGGCTAATGTATTTGAATAGGCCAGGCATACAGTAAAGTTATGATCAAAAGTGGTTTAAGCATGCAAGAAAATAATTTTATGGATGTGCCTTGCACGTGCTAAAATTGGAAGTGATTCGGACTCTCACTTCTCGAGATATTTAAGTTTTAAATCATGACCTTACTTTTGGGACACCCTGCTAAGTTATACTATACAGTTATACATACTATATAATTATAATTAATACTATACAGTTATAATACTATATAAGTTATACTAAAGTTATACTAAGACAACTGCTAAACGCAGTTGTCTTAGTATAAGTCTTTGACACTGGATAGTAGAAGTTATAACGCGAATACAAAATACTTGCCTACTAAATCATGACATAACTTGAAATTTGTAAGATGTAATGTTAGCTTTTCAGAACAAAAACAAGATGTGTGAAAAAATACCTTAATTGTGATCACCGGAAGCGAGTTTTGCCGTGGGGCCACTGGTTAAAAACAACTGAAAATTGATAGCATGGATTGACTTCAGTAAACTTTCCGGAGTCGGAGTCGAGGCAGCTGGACCGACTCCGACTCCGACTCCGACTCCTGGCTGCTTGCCACGACTCCGGGCGACTCCGACTCCGACTCCGACTCCGACTCCGAAACCCTGATATGTAGGGTAGATACTCCGGCATGTCCCAAGAACAAAGGCATCACAACAACAGCCGAACTATGTTCCATGGACTATGAACAAAATGAAAACACCATTTCACATGATCCTATCTGAAAACCCTACTTCTTTTATCTGGTATCCGCTCATAGATTCATGAGCAAAATATTCGTCTCTCATTTTAATTCTTCATGACAGAAAGCGGTAGATACCACTAAAAATGCCGTAACACATCATTTGACCCGCGCCGTGCTGGTGGCCTTCCGTGTGGTTTTCCGTGTCGTGCTGGGATGAGGGGGCGTTTTCACGCCACATTCTAACTCGGTTCCTGAGCCCACGTAGCGACACGCGGTAAGCGGCATTCGAAAGAGCATCAAAAATAATAACGAAAACATTTAAGTCATTTCTTAGGTCAGGTCAAAGGTCATGTAGGAGAACCCGATGATGTCGTAAGACGAAAGCTCGTTCTATATTTTCGGCCTTATTTTGTTATATAAAAATACATCTCACTGCCATGTTATTAGTCATTTTCATCATCATATTTAATTATTTGATCATGGCAAAACCGACCATTCAATACATCAAGGTCAAAGGTCAGGTCACCAGAGGTCATCAAAAGGTCAAATTTGGTCCATTTCAACAATCTTGGAAACTGCCAACGGCTAACTCGGGAACCAATAGAGCTACAGCGCCACGGGAATTAGCGCATTCGATAGCCTTTTTACAGACGTTTCTAGGTATTCTTCTCAGATTTGACCAGCCTCCAGAGGGTAAAACCTCTAAAAATAGCCGTTTTCAAGAAAAATGTTTTTCGGTAATAACTTGTGACTTAAGAGAGCCACGACATTATTTTTGGAAGCAGTACGTGCACCTCTCGTCGAGACGCGTCGAATGAACGATACATTGACCTTAAAAGGTCATTTTGTAAATTTGACTGCAGGTCAAGGTCATGACCTGACCGGAAAGGGTCATGTTGCATATCAGTCGATCCGTATCGTCGAGCTGAATACATCTGACGTGTTTTCATCGCTTTATCACGTCTCTATCAAAAGTTATAGCCCAAAAACTGCTGGTGACCGTTCATGGCCTGAGATGACCTCAGGGGCACACAAAGGGGTCACAGGTGCATTTTTCCGATTCAGTGTGTCATGTTTGCTTCTAAACCGATGTTTGAGAGGGCTTAGAACGACACTCGTCCAAAAGAGGCGCATTTCAATTTTCTCCCATTGACTTATAATGGAGAGGTCGCAAATTCGACCTGATATTAGGTCACAAATGTAAAAAAATCCGAGATATACATACTGTAATTTTTTTTTCAATTGCTGATAGTTTCGAAGTGATCGTTCAGTCGGTGTAGCTATAGCGAGCCTTTGAACCTTTTCGGAGGTAAGGTCACTTGACGTGACCTGGTGACCTGACCTTGAACGACTCAGGTCTTAACTTTTCACATGTGCGGAAAAGATGTATGAACAGGTGTACCAAAAACACGCGCCGCCTATTCGCGAAAAACCTGTGGAGGGTTTTCCAGCACGGCGCTGGTTAAAGTAATCGTGAACGAATGAAGCACGTAGATATTTCAAGTAGACATACCTTTTGATGAACCTTTAGCGCCTTCTTTAATCCTTTTGTTCCGCATTTCCTTTTGTAATTTTGAAACAGCTATACCGATATTGCTGATGAAAGACAACAATGCTGCCGATAGCTTGCATTGGTGAATCATTTAATCTCTTAACACCCACAATCCACATAACCTACCGCACTATTCTGAATCAGCCAGACGTAAAGACTGTTTTTGAGACAATAATACCCTAATCTATACCTAAAGACAAAATTTCCAAGCAACTATACTGTAGCTGCATGTGCTAGTGTTTATAAAAAAAAAATAAACGAATAATAATTGCACGCATGGTAAAACATTTAAGCCTAAGATACGAAAAGGTACTTAGGCAAGACCTCTGGAGAGCTTTTGCGCTACCGTTTGCAGTTTACACCGTTGAGCGACTGTCCCATATGACGTCACCACTAAGTGCCCGCTCTGCGCGGCCATTGGCAGAGCCCCGCCCTTACCTGGTTGTTGAACCAGCGGTAATGGCTCGGTCCTCCCACCTGCAGTCTCCAGTCTCCCATGCCCTCGCCCACCGCGGAGAGAAGGCGGGTGTTTGGTCAGCTCCAACACAGGGCACGGGTCGCCATTGTGCGGCCCATTAGCCGCTGCACACCTCACTCGGCAGCGGGCCGGCGGGGATACACAGGTCCGGTGTCCGGGATTGTGCGCGCCTGCACGGCCTCTCCGAGAGCTGTTTGCAGCCGCCGCGCGTGGTGGCGCGGCGATCCCCCGGCCGCCGGCCGAGCGGTGTCCCAGACCCGCGACAGGTCACGGTGCAGGTATTCCTGCTGTCCCGCGGATGGCTGGGATAGGAGAGGGACGTGACTCTGCTGCTACTGATGGCTGTCCGATGGTCAGACGGGTCCGAGAAATGGCACAGCCCCGAGAGGGTCAGTAGGCACGGCTGTACGCGAGTATGTGTGTGCTCGCACACGGGTACACGACACGCATGTACAATTGTTTTTTTTTTTGTCCTGGTAGACGGCAGAGATAAATTGAACCAGTAACTAGCAATTGTAAATCATTACTAACTATACTTCCCGGTGTCTCACAAAGAATGGCACGCCACTCAATTTGCGCGCCAATGTCTACATATATAGCCGTCTATATATAGACAATATAGACAATGAATAAATTTGACGCAGAAATGAGTGTGAGCTGATCGAACTCCTGTTGACGTGTGTGGTCTTAATTGATCAAGTCTGATGACAACCTTACCATGCGCTTGTATGCATTTGATTCTTGTGGACTTGGCCTTAGCATGTTGACTCTTCCACAGGTATGGAGCACTCTCAAGGACTGGTGATTGTGGAAAAGATGGAGAACGTCACAGCTCTGGCCGCCCGGTCGGCCAAAATCACCTGCAGAACCACCAACTTGGCCGACCGCAAGGTGAGGGAAGCGTCATACGAATTGGCGGCTTCACACTTCACAGTAATAGCCTCAACACAGCTTGCACAAGTAGCTATGAGCATCACCGACGAATCTTGAAGAGCATTCCAATACAAACCATTGACCATTGAATCGCAGCCATTATCTCTGAACTTGACGACTTTCAATAATTGTTTTCGCCTCCAATAGCCAAATTAGCACAGGAACTCAGCCAGGAAGCAAAAGGCACTGGAAGAGACTCTGCGGTCTGGACAGAAATAGTAAGCGAGAAGTGTTATAACTTCGTGATGCCTGGATACGTCAGGGACGACGAACGCTTACTTTTTGCGTTCATGCTCAGTTTGCTCATGTCTCTGGCTGCAAGACAGACCGCATGTTCCGATGTTAATGGCTTGCATTTAGATGTTTAGCTATAGAAGGACTAGGATAATACATTTGTAACGATTTACCATCACACTAAAAAAGACTCCTGTTCAGTTTAAAATTAAAACCATAACTAACGTGTTTTCTTAATTGACTTAATGGGTATCGAAAACGACAGAAAAATGCATGGTAAAACGATGGATGATTTGGCGAGTGATTTTACAATTTTCAACCAAATCAATCACTAGCTAATAGCTTCTATCTATACTTGTTAAATCACCCCTACTCTCCGCACTGGGGCGAAGTTCTCATCAGCATTGCCTGTTTCCTCTCCCAAGGCCGCTTGCAGCCCTACCGCAGTCCGTCGGTCCAACCTCTCAGTCCGCCAGCTGGATAGGCGGGACGGGTGGGCGGGACAGGAGCTGGCACCGCTCTGGGTGTTCTCCAGCCAGCTCCGTGAGTGCTGTCTCTCACAGACAGCCCGCTGGTCACCGTGGCCGCTGCGGCGGACCTACAGCTCACCCACAGTCACAGAGAGCGCCACAGTTTCTGTCAGAGCCAGCGGCCAGCCATGGCAGCTGTGGCAGCTCGGCAGGCGCTGCAGGCCGGCAGCTGCCGCCGCCGCTCCGCCGTCCTGTCCGGTTATTGTCTCCCTCCGTCCCCCCGTGATATACCCACGGGACAGCACGCCACGACAGCCGCCGCTAATACCGGCGAAGGGCGTTTTTAATTTGGACAGCGGCCAAAGTTTATAACCCCCAGTCAATGGGGAGTGCCATCGGGTCTCGCCGGGTGGCCGGCTGGGACACGCAGCGACCCTGAGGACGGGGGCCGGCGCCTCCAGACAGTCTGACGGTATTGACGAGCAAAGTTTGCTCATTGATTAGTAAACATCTCCAGTACCTGAGGCGACGAAAACACAGGAAAATAAGGTGTCCGTAATTAATTATTGAGGATGATGATAGGGTAGGTTCAAGGCGTGTGCCTACCTTAGTGAGGCGTGAACGAAAGCGTTGATGCGTATCTCTTGCGGGCTAAGAGGCAATTAATAATATTCCTTTTAGTTGAGGTATATGTGACGTGCAGCCATTAATGGCTCGACAAAGTTATTGGAATGAATAGTTAGATTTTTAAAGCCATCGTATCAAATATCCACAGTTTGGGGTATTGATGTCATGGCAAGTATTGCTAATTCTATTGTCATCTATCCTGCAAAATAATACATTTTGATAAAAGTTGCTCGTTCGGCAAACGTTCGCATATGTAGTTAAACCGATAATCTGCAGTGATGCATCATTCAGAGATGCGATCATTCAACGCCAATTAACTTTCATCAATCTCCACGAGTTCAGTCCCCTGTTCAGTCCGCTCCAGTCCAGCCACCAGTCCCCTCCCGCCACCGCACAGTCCCAGTCCAGCTCTCGAAGGGCGTATCTGACAGCTGGTCAGTGTGAGCGGTGGTCAGTGCGTGGTCAGGACGGGCTGCTGGCCAACCACGTTACCCGTAGCCGCGCCGTCAACAAACAGGATTTCCGGCGTGGGCCGACGAGACCGGAGGCTGGGGCAGCGCGCCAGGGCTAGTCAGGGAGACGGACAGGGGTATATGGAGGGACGGACAGACGACAGGGATCAGGGGAGGAACGACATAGGGTATATGGAGGGACGGACGGACGGACAGACGACAGGGATAACGGAGGGACGACATATGGTGTATGGGGAGTCGGGATACGACAGGGGAATATGGCGATGCGGGCAAACGACACAGGAGCGTGCGGGGAGACGCGAGACGACACTGGGTTTTTGGGAGACGGGTAGACAATAGGGGAGACGGAGATATTACAGGAGTTATGAGAAGACCGTGCATATGACGGGATAGGGCAAACTGGAGAGATTCGGAGTAATTTCAGGCAAGCGTTCCTCTGGGTAGGGACTGAGGAGATCAGAGACAAAGCATACGATACCGACGATGGCCTCTTCATTCATCTACTTGTTTGTGGAAGGGGGAGAAGCGTGACGTTGACTTCATTCAAGGTTGTCACACTTGTGTCACACTTGTCTCTCTCGTCCTTTTCCGTCATCTTGTCCCTCTGTCACTCTGTCTCTGAAAATTTATCCCCGCTCTGGCGTCACCGGCCGGTGATCCGCCAACAGAGGCGATGATCACTGTGGGCCGACAGGGCTGATCGCTGTGGGCCGACACCACCCAGCGGCACAATACACGCACATCATAAACGTCCGACCGGGGGCGGGCCGCGTCGACGGCGGGAGGGCAGCCGCGGGATTTATGGCTCGGCACAGACGATAAACGGAGCAGCACCACGGGCCGAGCCGGACAATAATTGCCGGCCCTCTGTGGTCGTTGGCACCCGCGACGGACGACTACACAGCGGGCGCGTCTCACAGGCAATCCAAGCCCACCCTCAACAGCTCCCAGAGGCGCGGGACGCTCCACAAACTGCTGAGAGGCACCAACTGGGGCGTAAACCGTCCGAGAAAGCCGGCATATGTGCCGGCGACTCCGGAAATGGGCAGTGTAGAGGTAACCCACACCACAACAATGTTGATGTGGATAACTTTGAGTGAGTCGTTGCTTTTCTGTCGCTGTTTTTAATCGCTGTTTTCTGAATCGCTCTTTGACACGCACGCGCTTTGAAATAGCCCGCTGGCACTAGACTCATGACTCATGAGCAACATGTTTCGATCGCGAAAGGGAAAATGCATATCACTTTTTTGTTGGTCTTATGGCGCCGTTAACAATTCTTGCTTGCAATACATACTTGCAAACAATACTTAAATACCAAATATGCGGCCCCTCTGTGGCATAGTTTATTAGCCATTGGCACAGCCACAATCAGGTCACCCCGCAGCCCAGGAAGCAGTGGGGTAGTGTCAGTCGTTTGGCTGAAGGACAGGTTACGGGGCAGGCCCGCTCCGTCAGCTCGTCATGCAACCTGGATGAGTGGGTCCGACGCGGACGGTGTCGAGATAGCTGAGAGATGGAACGGTCGGCCGCAGCTCGGCAGCTGCCCGCGGCGGTAAGGTCAGAGCTATAGTAGGTAACCGAGCCGCCGCGGTAAGGTCGGCAGTAAGGTCGGAGCTATAGTAACCGAGCCGCCGCTGCCTGAGGGGCTGGCGCAGCTCAGCACTACAACAACCAAGCCGCTGCTATCTAACTAGCCGGCGTAGCAGAGCTCATAGCGCAGGTAATGCAGCCCTCATCAGAGCTATTCTAACACTAGATGTTAAAACTATGTGGCACAGTTCTCTTAGTTCCTCTACGGTAGCTGACAAAGCCAACGATCGCCAGGGCTTGTGACAACCTCTCTCTCTCCCTCTCCCTCTCTCCCCCGTAACTGTCGAAGCTTCGCTTCATCAGAGCTGCTGCCGCTCTCCTTCCATCAGAGCTGACACAGCCCTCCTCTCCTCTCGCCCGCCGTCCGAATCGTTTATCAGACGGCGACTAATTGAAATTTTACAACTTGCCGCCCGAATGACGTCACTAGCGTCGTTATTGTCTCAGTCGCGCCGAATTGGTCGGCGCCGAGTTCCGCCGGCGACAACTGTCGAACGGGCTAACTTGTGTCGTGGCGGGTCGTGGCCGACTGGTGTCACCGCCCCGTTCGAGTGTCACTGACACCAGCAGCCGGCGACAAAGTGGCTCCGCGGCGGTTCGGCCAACTCCCGATCGGAGGAGTTTGTCCGATTGCACGCGTTCCACGGCCCAACGAGCTGCCGAGATCGGCCGGACGGCCGGCGGACGCATTAACGCCCGGCCCCGAATGAAATGTGCCATCCGCCCGGCGCATTCATTAAAAAACTTTAACAAGCAACAGCTCTTGAGGGGACTTGTAGAATAAACCTGAAGATTACCAACTCTGGCGGCGGAGCGGCCACGCAGGAGCGGCAGGTAAATTCACCGGGACTTTGTCTCTGTAGAGGCGGCCGGCGGGAAATGAGCGCCAACTTTGGCAGCCTCCGGCCAGAGTTAGAAGCCAGCCGGCCATAATCTGATTAAAGAATAGCATCTGTTTGTGGATGGGTCCTTTGTTTTTGCTCTGTGCGCCACCGGCGGTGGAGAGCTCTGCATTGAAGGAGTGCCCCGGCACGCACAATGAGCACCAACACAGCATGCCTCGCGAGCTCCAAATGCATCGGCTCACAATAGAAACATGTTGGCTATTCAACATAGAATAGGGTCATCAGTATATTATGTTAATCTCATAATGACTCATGTACCTATTTTATTGAACCTATAGCAATTATTCCATTTCGTGTTTATAGCAGCCTTTAGGGAGCACATAACATAAAAAGTCAATATAATAGTGCAGAAGAGCTGGTCAAGGACAACCCAACCGACCCATTCAACCCCAAAGAGAACCCAGTCACATCCCTCTCCGTCCCGTCAGGTGGCCTGGATCCGGCGCACGGGTGCCGCCGTGCTGGCCGTGCACACCACGCGCATCTCTCCCGACACGCGGATCCGCGTGACGCACGAGAACGGCCGCACGTGGCACCTGCATATCGACAGCGTGCGGCCGGCCGACCAGGACTGGTACACGTGCCAGGTGAACACGCCCAACGTCACGCAGCAGCACGCCTTCCTCGAGGTCACTGGTGAGTGCCGCGCGGAGGGGCGGGTGAGTGCCGCGCGGAGGGACGGGGGAGGGGCGGCAGAGGGAGGGATGGTGACGAATGAGGAGAGAGGGTGGTGACGAATGAGGGAAAGGGTGGTGACGATTGGTGAACGAATGAGTGACATCGACAAAGAGATACAACCGGTTGGTAACGGCCCCTACGGATGCACCTCACCTAACTGAACAGGAATCACCATGCGATTTGATAATGTCGATCGCTCATGACTGTTCAATACAATACAATGAAATACAATAGCTGTTGAAGCTACCTGTGTTGTTACACGGCCGCCTCTCCGGCCCACCCCGTCTCCGTTGTGATTTCAGTGCCGCCGGACATCTCCAGCGACGGTAACATGAGCGAGGTGACGGCGTTTGAGGGTGAGAACGTCACGCTCATCTGCCGGGCGTCCGGGGTGCCGCAGCCGAACGTCACCTGGCGCAGAGAGGACGACCTGCCGCTGCCGGTCCACTCACCGACCCCAGGTCAGAACAGGAAGGGGCATGGCGACCTGCCGCTGCCGGTCCACTCACCGACCCCAGGTCAGAACAGGAAGGGGTGGTCTGCTCACCGACCCCAGGTCAGAACGGGAAGGGGTGGTCCACTCACCGACCCCAGGTCAGGACACAGGAAGGGGCATGGTTATCAGGTCACCTGAAGACCTACCTCTGCCGGTCCGCTCACCGACCCCTGCAGGTCAGGGCAGGGTGGGATATGGATGTCAGGTCACCTGTCGATCTGCCGCTGCCGGTCAGGTCAGGTCAGGTCGTCGACTCTAGGTCGGGTCACCACATCGGGATACAGAGGCCGATTATAGGTTTGACAATGTCAATAACGCAGCCATTAGAGCGTTAACGGAATATGTACATTTCAGGCCACAGTGCACGTACATACAGAAGTTTTCATGTAAATGACCATTGAGTCAGGCCACTGAAACAGGCAATATCTATGCTTCACATAGATGATGCCGGATAGTTAGGCAGCTACCTATAAAAGAGATGTTGTTGATATCTTCCCAGACTTGCCTGGCTACCGAGCCATTATTGCAAGATGCTATGACCTTCACCGTTCATTTTAACTGGTTGCTCAGCGGATAATGATCCGACCAAGAGACCGACGCTACCCATCCGATCAGAAAATGCAAAGTTCCAGAAACAAGTTTGCGAAGTCGGAAACTTTGCATCCGAGTGATGGCTCGAGGTTTCTGATTTAAGTGTTCCATTTAGTACTCGTAGAGATCGTCGATGTTTCATGCTGAGATACACTTCAACCGTGTTTTAAAGTATTCGATCATCTAGCTGCGATTGTGAACCATCAGGGTGAAATATTTGTTTGTTTGTTGAGTTTTTAGAGCACGTCGACGACTCGACAGTGGGGTTATTATGCAATATTTCCTACGAAAGTAACCTGAACGTCACAATAATAAACGATGCAAAGAAGGCGCTCCCTTTACGCGAACGGAATCAACGCATTGCATATTGTATGGTTCCGATTAGGTAGACAACCAATTAATTTCGACGATCAACATGTATGTGTTCCACTAAGTGTGGTCCACAGTTTGTAGTAGGTATAGTAGTTCACTGACCAGTTGGCCTGTGTCACTGCTGTGCCGGAGGTGATGCTCTAACCACACATGGTTAGTGTCCGGGTTTCCGCTCAGTCCTCGCTCTGATGTTCTCCGCCGTCCCCCACTGATGCCGCTCCTGGTGTCACGTCTGATGATCCTCCGTCAGCGATTGTCGCGCCCGTTCAGCTCCTATGATGGACGCAGTAGCGTTCAGCGGTGGCTGGCGAGGTCCCTCCAGCCCCGACCCGGCTCCCGGCGCCCCGCTCGGCGCCCCGCTCGGCGGCCGCTCTGGAGCTCCGCCAGACTGCGCTGTCGCGCTGATTGATGACTTTTTATCAGATAGTGATACGGCAGACTGGCAGGGTCCCGCGGCGACCCGACCGCTGCCGTCGCGCTCAATGAAGCCGCTGCGAGCCAAACGGCCGGCCGGCACAATGCGCCAGGTCGGTAGGAATTCCGATGGGTCGTCGGCGGGAGAGCGCTGGCGCCGGTGACGGCTCCCCGGGGATTGGACTGGTCACACAGATGGGCAGAGCACCCCAGGGACAGGCTGCAGAGAGCCGAGCGACACCCAGCGCGGTCCGAGTAGGTCAGATTCGCAGTGGGTTTGAGTAACTAATTGAAAACGTTTAACAAAACGTTTTTTTATTTAATAAAAATGTCATGATAAGACACGAGAATTGCCGAATGCAATATAAGTTGAAAAAGAGAGATCTCCGGTTTCTGGGATCAATCTCACAGTATCAAGCTCAGATGAAAAGAAAACTTGTATAGAATCTTGACTTCATGGGAAGGATTTACCGAGGAAGGTGTTTGTAGAACAAACGGTGAGATAATTGCCTGTTTTGTTTATTGAGTAGATACACCTTCAAGCTGATTGACCAAGAGACCAGATAGAATCGTTTTCCGACATCGCTTATGCCATTCACTTCCCAAATTATTTATCTATCGTTGCACTAGTTGCACCTGATCAATGTGAATGTTGACACTACAATGGCTATAACTAATAAAGCAATTCCATTTTTGCTGATATTCCTACTGCGAGGCCCTGTCCAGCTGCACTTCATGCTTGGTAGTTTCTATACCCAGTCTCAGATGGCGCTAGTGCCGCGCCTGTGAGGCTAGGCTGTACCGTATCACACGCAGCCAGTAAACTGACCGCATCATCGCATCTGCTTATTGAGGGGATGTGTTTCTGATAGAGAAGCAATCCATTAGCTCCATAACACGTTTCTGCAGAGAAAGTAACCTCAGTAATTACACTGAGCGTCACTAAGGCACGCATCGAACTCCGCTGAGTAGCCTCTATTTAAATGTCACGGACCTGACAAGCTGTATCGTCGGTCGTAAGATGAGCCGACCGACTAATGGTTGGCCAACATCAGACCCTGCGCGCGGAGCTGGCAGCACAATGTGTGCTATACACGCTGCCTGCCTTCGTCGTACAGGCGCCCAGGCTTGTTTTGCACGGGACTGATTGAAAATCGACCCGACTGAAGAGACGTTCTTTGGCGACGTTCAAGCAAAAGCCTCGTCTGTGCGCTCGTCTGATTGTGACCGAATGCTGTCCGAGGCGCACCACACACGGCACACATGCGATTCTGCCGAGGTATAAGGCCTTCCCGGCTTCATCAGCGGCCCGGAAATCAGCGACGAGCTCTGATGGACGTAAAAACCACAGCCGAACAAATCAATCAACCGGCGGCCCAACTTTTTAGCAACCGGTGTTCCTGTGAAGGAAAATTGCATCTGAGGTGACTTATTGATTGAGGAATTTTACTTTTTACTTATTTTTGTATTCTTTGTACCTTTGTAGGTACCTCATGCTTATAGTTCTACAACATATTGAAATAGGCGTGAAAAGCAATGCTGCCGTGCAATGCCAATATGCATATCATTACTTATTGCCTTAGTATACCAAAAATATCATTGAGTTATTTATCAGCTGTTTCCGAATCACCTAGCTCTGATATGTTGTATATTGTATATAACCATGTCTACTAATGCCTTTTTTGCCCATGAACACGGCAAATTTGGGGAGAAAATAAATCACTTTTATAATAGGTAACAGTGGCAAGTCTACACGAGTATTGATTTACAGGGCACCCGATATCTATGTTTACACACAAAGGTCGGACGGCCCAAGAACCCGAACTATCCACCTGACCTCTTTCGACCTCGTCCGACCCTGGGTGACCCCAAAGGGCGCAGCTCTGCCCTCGGAGGTCGGCACTCGGCAGTCGACCGTCAGAGGCAGTCAGAGGCCGGCGGAACTCGGCTTCGAACAGCGAGTTCGAACTAACCGGCCTAATCCGACGACATGATTTGTCTTCGTCAGCGCGCGCCGAACGAGCTGGCTGCTGGCCGCTCTCGCTCGGCATTCTGCCGCGGTATGGCCGGCCGGCGGCAGACAGTGTCAGCGCCGGCCGGCGGCTCTCAAACACGCATCGCTCCCACTGTCGGCGCGTTTCACCGAGCGCCATATGGGTGGGAGGGATGGGAGGCGACAAAGAGCGTCAGCGGGGGAGGACGGGGGATGGGGTAGGGGGAGAGAAGGGGAATGTCCCGCTTAGTGCTCCTTCATAGATAACTACATATGTGAAGAAGATGGAACCGGGGAGCTTGATAATCGAATCAAGAGAATGCGTACGCGTAGGTATAGAAAACATTCCGAGGGACCGTTTATGTCCTCACAGCTAAGCATGGGCTACATGGTGAGGCATAAAGACGCCCTCGGCAGTAAAATGCCACTGCAGCCCAGAGACTGAGCCGCCGTCTGACGTGCACACTGCACAGCCCACGAGCAGTGGCAGACGGATGCGCCGCGGCTCTTCACGGAAGCTGAATCTCCGACCTCCAGCATACGCTCAGAGACTGGCGGCCCCATAAATATTACATGGCGAGATCTGGAGACCATTTAGTGGCCTGTTCCACCCGTGTTAGAGCAAACAGTGGAAGCCTACTACGCTGTGACCCGGCCGGTACTCGCAGCCACCGAGGACCGCTTTAACCCGCGACCTGGTGGGGGGGGGGGCTATTTTTTGCCCCCCCTCCAGACTTTTCGATATATCTCCAGAACCACTGCGCCGATCGTCACCAAACTTTCAGTACCCTCCCGGACATCAATTTTACACATTGTGACCAAAAATTTTTCCAAAGGCTATGATAGGTTGGCCGGAAATGACGTCAGAGTGACGTCATGTTCTGCCGTTTTCGACCCAAAAAAGGGTTTCGCGGGAAGAGCTGTCAGGCCTATAGCTTTGCAAATACAGAAAAATGATACAGACATAAAAGCTGTAGAATAGACAGGGCTACAAAACTGCTATCTCGGATTTTTGAAATTTTTGGATTTTCACCCCCTAAAATCAAAAAATAGATTTTTTGAATATAATAGCCAAAAAATCCAAAAAGTTTTTTGAATTTCGAAAAAACCGGAATATATGTGATAGCCCCTACCGCCTTCTATCTACATACCAAATTTGAGATCGATACCTCTTTTTTTGGCCAAGTTATAGCGAAAAAACTGTTCAAAATTGATGACGTCAAATTTTCAAACTCAATTTTCAGCAATTCTAGACCTCGTAGCGCAAAACAAAGACCACCATTAGACTCCCCGTGACGAGCTGCATCGAATCAATACCCATTTTATGCAAAAATATCAACTTTGAAATTTGACCTTTTTTGACCTGACCTTGACCTGACCTCCACCAGAAAGTGACCTAAACCGTACCTGATGGTCTTATAACCAACACCATTGAGTTGGAAATGAAAAACTGGCCATAAAACATGCATCGCATAACCTTAGTAAAGTTGGGTTCATGTGGTGACCCTTGGTGACCTTTGGTGACCTGACCTGTGACCTGACCTGGTATGACCAGTGACCTCTAACAGCAACATATCTACTAGGCAACTGACGCCCTATCGCTGATTCCCGACAAAATGCGTTTTCCTCGGTGTTATAGGGCATTCCCTAGAAGACCCGTGAACGGTGAAACATTTCATCTTTGACCTGACCTGTGACGTCATCGGTGACCCCGAGGTCAATAAAATTTGGTTTCCCCCGACAAATTTGACAGGCCTTTCGAACGCCGTTTGAATTTTTCGGATCCGTCCAGTAGTTTCGGAGATACGAGGGGGGGGGGCAAAAAATAGCCCCCCCCCCCACCAGGTCGCGTTATAAACAGACCCCACCAGGGCGCGGGTTAAACTGGCAGCGCCGGTGGCATTTAGCCGAGCAACTTCGCGGCTTGACATTCAATCTTTCTCGAAGCTGGCTTCTTTGAAATCCCATTCACTTATTAACTTTTCATCATTGAAGGATCAGATATATTTTCCCGGGGGACTTGGAGTTAAGTCGGGATGATTTGCAAGACGTTTCCAAGCTCGGGCACTATATGACTGTGCGGTCCGGGTCAACGGAGCGCATGGTCATAGTCTGCATACCTCTGAGTTGTCATACGTAAGGTCGTATGACCTTCCGTATGTCGTAAGAGATACCGCTCAACCATTTCAGTCAGCCTCACCGTAAACCAGGGCTGCGGAGTCGATGGATTTTCGGCGACTCCGACTCCCACTCCGACTCCGGCTTTCAAAAACCAGCTCCGACTCCGACTCCGACTCCGGGCAGAATTGTCGACTCCGACCGACTCCAACTCCCGACTCCGACTCCGCAGACCTAGCAGGGCTGCGGAGTCGACAGATTTTCGGTGACTCCGACTCCGACTCCGGCTCGGGTTTCTAAAATCGACTCCGACTCCGACTCCGACTCCGGTCACAACTGTCGACTCCGACCGACTCCGACTCCGACTCCGACTCCGACTCCGCAGCCCTGCCGTAAACCATGACTGACATATGTGTGGTTTATGTTGTAGGTATGCGCTTATTGCGTGGTGAGCACTGAGTTTGGGAAATGATATCTTCATTCTTCACAGCTTTGATGCTGTTTTTTCCGTATAGAAGTCTTGCGACTGATATCAAGGTTGTCTGCGAGTAAATGCATGCTCGTTGGGAACTGTGGTAGACCATCGGCTAACGGACACCTTGCGCTAGCCGTCAGTTTCCCCGTGTGAATAGATGATAAAGATGGCATGTGTCATGCCATTGCATCGTCAAAATCAGCTATTTATGCTGTCATTAATCATGATCAACCTTACTGACGAAGACAAGAAGCTGCTTACTTAATAACTGAAATATATTGCGAGTACCTACTACTCAGTACTCACTGTTGTTCCAATTCAGAAATTTCGTCCCGACTCCAGCCGACTCAACTGCCATACTCGCAACGAGCAATAAATCAAAAAGAAATGAATAGCCTCTCTGATTCCAACTAACGTTAATAATAGCGGAAATAAATAACTAGATTAAAGTTATCAGATACATAGCATACCAGCTGGATGGAAATATGTTTGCAGTAATTATACAATTCAAAGCACTAAACTATCTTGGCCATTGTATTCGTGAAATTTTGAAGCACAGTGGAAAGTCTTGTGCTACGCGGCACTGATGTTACCATGCAATAAATAATCAATGTGCATCGAATTTCATCGAATAAAATCTCATCGGATTGCATCACTTTGCTCTCCTCATATCCCCGACTATGATGAAAGAAACGCCTGCACCCGGCGTTGTGTTGAACCGTTGATCTACCTGGCTTTAGGAATTAAAACAGAAATTGCATTATTCTGGATGACTTTTCCGCTTCTCACCGATTTCTCGGGCCATGTGACAGGCTCATTTCAGATACAATTATGCCGGCTCTTGACTCGACTCAATAGAAAGGGGTCGATCGTATCTTGATGAATCGCTCGAGATACGGCCCGTGCCACACAATCGGTTCTGGATCGGCACAGAAAACGGTTCATGGCAGTGCATGCCTTATGCGATCAATGCGAATACCGGCGAATTTTAAAACGGTCAAAGCTTTATCAGCAGATTTTCACTGACCAAGATAAGCACACGAAAGACTGGTGGGCTAGTCATGGCCTCACATATCTAACGCACTGTAGCTGTGCAACTTGCTGGGTGCGCCTCTGCGCTGACCCGGGGCCGACCGGTCACGTGACTGTGTCGGTGGCCCGTGCCGCTCGCTGGATGTGAGCCCATTTCGGCCGTTGCGATCGGGCCGGCTGGCCGCATGACCAAGTTCCTCCCTGTTCATCGGTGTATTGTACATTATCCATTGCCTTAAAAGTCTCGCAAGAGCATTGCAATATAATGAACAGAGTGACGTTCGTGCACTTCATTGATAATGAATTAGCTATGCTGTTGTGTCGGCAGTGTACACGATGGGTGGCTCGCGACTGGAGCTCGGCGTCGTCAGGAGACACTTCTCCTCCGACTACTACTGCATCGCCTCCAACGGATGGCCGCCCGCCGTCAGCAAACGCGTCCAACTGCGCGTCAACTGTGAGTAGAAACGTCCAGTTGCGCGTCAACTGTGAGTGAAAACACTGGAGCGCTCGTTTAACGGCCATATGCTTGTACATAGCTATATATCAGTTTTAAGGGACGTTGGATTCACAAATATGTGTTTGAGTGTTTGCAAATTAACCAGACGAGATTAGAAATTATCGTTACTTCGTAACAACGCAGCAATCAGAAACTGTAGGCGGCAAGGACGTTTCTATCGCTGTTGGCCAATTGCAAATACCTAAATCGGTTGTGCTCTGAGCGGTTAACATCAAAGTGTTGTTGTGTACTGTGGGTCAGCGGTTCTCGGATTTCATTACGAGACGGCATGTTTGGCCACGGTCACATTGGCGGCACTTCTGACGAGCTGCACCTTGACTCGATCGCGCTAACCGCACCTTTAGGGAGTCACTGCGGCAATAGAATCAGTAACGCAGAAGGTCATTTAAATGTCAAAAAGTCATGCCATGCATAGTCGAGCCTGGCAATCGCCAGCTGCCTTTCGAAAGCGCTTATTTAGGGCTAACCTTCTTGAAGCACACTACAAAATTTGCTTTCTTGCGGAGAGAGGGAGAGACTGAGAGGAGAGACTAAAAGAGAGAGAGAGAGAGAGAGAGGGAGAGAGAGAGAGAGAGAGAGAGAGAGAGAGAGAGAGAGAGAGAGAGAGAGAGAGAGAGAGAGAGAGAGAGAGTTTGGCGGCCGAGGGCAAAGCGAGGTCTTCCTGCCTTTGCCTTTTCCAGTTATCGGTATTTTACTTGTATCATGGAAGGTGTTTGTTAATTTCGGACCCGGTGCATTTGTCTGACCCCTGCCCCGCGCCTGCGGCATGGGTCCCCCGGAGTCACGATGTATTCGTCTGACCCTGCCCCGCGCCTGCGGCAGTCGCCCCGGAGGTGCGTAGTTTAAAGTCACGATGTATTTGTCTGACCCTGCCCCGCGCCTGCGGCAGTCGCCCCGGAGGTGCGTAGTTTAAAGTCACGATGTATTCGTCTGACCCTGCCCCGTGTCTGCGGCAGTCGCCCCGGAGGTGCGCGCCGCTCGCCGGGTGGTGACGGCCGTGCGCGGCCAGAACGCCAGCCTCGAGTGTGCGGTGGAGGCGTGGCCGCGCGGCCTGTGCTACTGGAGCGGCCCGCAGCCGGCGGCCGGTCGCTGGTCGCCGCGGCCCGGCGCCGTGCTGCAGGGCGGCGACCGGCTGCGGATCGGCCTGCTGGCCGCGGCCGCCCACTACCGGCGCCGACTGGTGCTCACCGTGCACAGCGTGGCCGGCACAGACTTCGGCAGGTACCGGTGCGCCTGCGAGAACCCGCTCGGAGAGGCGCACGACACGGTCGAGCTCAGAGGTGAGGCGGGGCCAGTCGCGGCCGACGTGTGGGGCTCCGGCTTGGTGAAGTTTTGCACAAGCATAAATGTAGTTCAGATCTTTACCAGTTCGGTTCTACAGCATCCACCTTGGGGTAGCTCTCGACCCTGAAGGACTTGGACTGCAATGTAAAAAGGCACGCTTCGGTAATTGTAGGAGGACTTATGCTCATAGTCTATAGTTTAAGCAAAAAATCTATTATTTCTAATAGTGCCTGCGCTTCGATTTGTATGAGTTATATTGCTGCTACCGATATGTGCTGGCTCCAGCGGCGCCGTTGTGAGCGTCATTAGCAACCAGTTTCCTCCATTGCAGATGTAACACCGAAACAAAGGCGTGAGTAAAAAAATGCCTGTTCGGCGATCTGTAAATGCATTTGAACGTTTAGGGGAAGTTGGGGGAACGCCGAAGACTTTTTTTCTGACGCCCGTAGCACGCAAGGTAGACAACATAAGCTATTCTTGTTGGCGTCATTCGAGAGGCCAGTCTTTTGCCTTTCAAACATACCAGGCGCATTTGATGAATTCGCATACCGTTAAGCGCACAAACTAAAAATATCAAAGAAGTGACTTTTTCGGCGTTGCCCCGGACTGCGGGGAAAGCCGAAAATGGGAGAAATGATCTACGGGGAATGCCGACATTGATGTTTTGCCATTTTATCTCAAACTTTATCCAGAATTCATCAAAGCTGACACGCGTTTTAAGAGCTTGAGGACGCGGTGCACACTGAAAGTTATAATTGTGTGATATAATAAGAAAATGCCAGGTAAATCATTCCTTATAGGTAACAGGCCGTTGTGTCGGTTGAAAGTGTAATTTGTGTGACTAAAAATACGCGTTGCTATTCTACAGCAGTAAAGTCCACGTAGCGTGCTTTTAACACGTGCGTAATCGCACGTTTTCGGCATTACCCCAGCCAGCCATACTTTCATTTGCAGGCCCATAACTTTTCAACGTGCTGTATAAATTTCAAATAGGCAGCACACTTATGCAAAGACATGCTAAAGATTACTTGACCGAATTGGCCAGACAAACGGTAGCATAATGAGTAAGAAATGCAGCTTCAAAGGCGCATGTAGTACAAGGGAAACGTACCTTGAAAACGCTCTTGGCGCCCTCACAGTCGAAGTATTCCGAATGACGACTCGTAACAAACATGCGGTAATTGTAGTCACTTAAGCTTCAGAGCATCACTGACAGGTGGCATCCATTTCTTACGGTTTTCGAAATATCTCGAATTTCGGCTTTGCCCCAACTCCGGCATTGCCCCAACTTCCCCTACTGTCCCTAGTTACATTCCATATACCCCTTGTTTGTAGTGATGTCTTACATGCTATTTTGCCCATTCTATGTATAGTGTTTGTCATTTTAAAAGGCATGCCGTCTTACCTCATACCTACCCCTTCGGTATTTTTCTGTAGGTAACTATTAGGTACCTATAGGCTGAATCCAAAGTAAAAGTTGTATAAACATGCATAACACGTGTGGGAACAACTGCATACAAGTACTCAGTTATTGCTGTCAGTTGATATTGACGGGGTTTACAACAAAGCTTCTCACTCCTGACCTGACCTGACCTGACCCTCAGACCAGAGCGGCAGAAGGGGCGGCAGTTTCAGCAGCAGCAGCAGCAGCAGCAGCAGCAGCAGCGGCAGCAGCAGCGGCAGCAGCAGCCGGCCCCCCAGCGACCCGTACCGGCGGCGGCGGCCGGAGCCGGGGGGCTCCACCACACTCAGCCGGGGGACCGGGTACGGCGGTACCTTCCAGGAGAGGGTACCGTACTCCCAGACAGAGGACGAGAGCGCAGCGGAGGAGCGGCGACCCGCGGCGGGAGCGCCAGGTCAGTGGACCGACGTATCGAGCTGAGTGTTGACAAACTAGTGTGGGCGGATTAGTCATACGATGATGGGGGTGGACGATTGAAAGAGAGAGAGAGAGAGAGAGAGAGAGAGAGAGAGAGAGAGAGAGAGAGAGAGAGAGAGAGAGAGAGAGAGAGAGAGGAGAGAGGGAGAAAGAGGTAGAGAGGTGATACATCAGCACGGATATAAGACATTTACCACCGTCTTCAAGCATCTGTATGTAAGTGAGCGCTCGCCACTGTCGGTAATTCCATGACCTCAGACAGTTACGTTTTTCTGGTTCTTTCAGGAATTACATCATTGCTGCACCTCCTGGCTGTGCCGATTCTTCCTGTTATTCTGCATTGCACGACGTAGGTGAGTTACCAAACGGGGCTTACTTTTGAAGCATATTAGTTGGGGAAGTGTTTGGACGGCTGAAAGTTGGTCATAAGTTCTGATTGGTTGCACTGCGGTGAATATATGTAGACCGAAATGATGACTAATGGTGGAACACTGTACCTATCAAATGGAGTAGGGATGATTTTTTATGAGTGGGCAATATGCCGTGGGATGGTTATGGACGAATATCTATAGTCTATACGCATAGCTTCTCAGTAAACCGTATGTCACTTTACGAACTTTTACACATCTACTTCTCAAAAATATTTGTATCACAGTTCGCAGCATAAGCACTGGCCAGTTCTCCACGTTACCGATCGCTGCACCATTTGTCTAGCACACCGCTCCCTGTCCTGATTCGCTGTACTCGTGTCACTGCCCCCTCCCCCCCCCCCGCCGTGTTCAGGCCGCTCCTCCCTGTCGGAGGGGCCGTCAATCGGCCGCCGTCAGCCGTGTCGGAGCCGACTCATCGGCGTTCACCGGGCGCCAAGTTAGCGGCGGCCATGTGTCGCTAACAGCCGCCCCCAGTCGTCATCGGATCGCTGTCGATCCTGGCGCTCCGACATCACTTCATCGCCGGCCGGCGCAACAACCGGCAAACTTTCGCCGAAATTGGCCCGCTCCGACTCGGCTTTGACCGGCACTTTACGTTTCAGAGCCGGCCGGCTCGACATGAGACGCCGCGCCCAAGTGGAGAGAGTGGCGGAGGCGGGGAGAGAGCGGCGGAGGAGGGCGCTCATCGGGATCGGACGCGCTGAGTGGCGCCTAATGTGGACGCTAACGGGTGTAACGACACATATCTCAGAGGCTGGCGGCGAGCGTCGGTCGGCGGGCGTCCGCGAGCCGACACCGCCGCCGGCTCAGCGGGCCCTCAGCGGCGAGCGACGGCGGGCTGCGGCGAGGAATGACGGGCAGGCAGAGATGCGTGCTTCATCCGGGGCTGCGGGACAACGTACCTTTGAGTAGAACGAAGAGATTGAGTAATTCAGGGAGCTCAATGAAACCTAACACCAAAAAATGTGTAAGGAATACGTGCTTTCTGTTCTGGATGCGCGCGGTGCGCTTTTGCTTTTATTTTGTTTGCGCACGTGCGTAGGAAAGTTGAGGAAAGTTGGCACAAATGTGAATGCAGCTATTGTTGTCTGGTTGTGGGGATGCTTTCAATCGATCGTTATTGAGCATTATCGTATGGGATAATGCAGACTTGCCAGGCGGTTCTTCATTCAATTAAGATCGCTATCTACGAGTATGTGCCACAATGGAAGCGGTCTACCTGTTTTATCAGCCATGCACTGATTCATGAGAGCATGAAATAGCCCGTGTAAGGTGCATCAGAGCTAGAGAGGAAGATATCTTGTTGTCATCAACAACTAATTATTTCATAATAGGATAGAAGAGTACAATGATAATTTGTCATTTATTTTGAATACCACATCTCACATGCTCGGCATGCCTATACGTTCCTGCCTTTTTTCAACATCCCGTTGATTTTAATGCCAACCGTTCCACCTCATGTCAACAAGTATTTTTACATGACATGACCGACTTTGCTATTTTTTTTGTGCTGGCGTAAGGGTTCTGTGTGTTGCGGTTTGATAGTGTCAGTGGGGCGCTCTTAGTTGGTCACCTTTTAATGAGGCGTAAAGAAAAAATACATCAGTCTACAGTCATGGATATTATAGCAGGTCCACAAACACACCCCATAGAAGTATACCTAATTTATTACACATCACCTGTGCTAAGTTATTCATTTCCCTTTTCTTCTCAAAATATATCGTTTTATTCGTCATGAATAACTATACAGTAGAATCCGCTTAGTAAATCCACCTTGGTGACACGGCGTTTTGGATTTATTAAGCGGCTGCTTTATTAACCGGAGTTAGTTATCATTCCATTGAGAAATCCGTGAACAGCTCAAGTGGCCACAATAAGCGGCTGGATTTATTGTCCGAGGATTTATTAAGCGGATTCTACTATAGGTACCAAATGTTGATCATGGTGAGGTATGCCTACAGCAAGGTGGGGTGATCTTTTCCATTATCAATCACTTCATTAAGCGATGTTGTATCATTTTAATGAAAGTGAATAGATACGACCTATAAGACCAGCTCATATATACCAAAATATCTTACTGTCCAATAAACTTCATATTTTTGCGCCGCGAAAAGATGGAAAGTAAGAACTGAGTTCCAGCGACCTGTCATCAATACATGTATGTACCTATAGCTGCGATTGTCGCTGATGAGTAATGCATGGCCATCGCCCGTACCACAGTTGAGCAATAAATATCATCAAGCTGTTTAAAACCCAACAGTTATTTTTGAGGAGAGTGATTTAATAGTTAGATCTCTTCAGACAATCTCCTATGGGTGGAGCGTGATCATGATGATTTCAACCTTTGTCTCTGTAAATATTTTGCCAGAAATGCTATTTTGTATGCATTTAAGCATTTGGTATGCTGTCTTCCAGTGTGGGAAACCACCATCTTCAGCTCGCTCGGATTTACTTCTCGCCCGTCTGACGTTTTGGTCGCCTGTACGCTATGCTGCTGAAATAAGAACGTTTAGAGCTCAGTGTTCGGTATGGCTGTCATATTACCACGATCTGTTTGGCATTTTTTTTTGCGAGCATGTTGAAATAAATGTGTTGTTGATGTTCTTGTAATGTTTCAAGCTGTCTGAAACTGAACTACCTTGAGAAGAAATGTTATGCTCATATGAAACGCCTCTAGAGGCTTAGTACACTCGATTGATGACATCTGACACGGTCTCATCTTCCTTATTGACAACTTGATTCTTAGGTTAGTCTCCAATACCCATGCGAGCCGCAGTGGTAGCTATGGTGGTTTGTCTAGATAGATGGGTATGTGGAGCCATGCAGCTTTGATGAATATGAACAGGCGTTTGACATCCGTATTTCGGGTTGTAACGGTTATTGTACCACATTTGATCATTTACTTCGTCTTTTGTAATGTTACATAGTTATTGAATTCGTATAAATTCAATAACGGACAATTTTGTGAATAAAATAGCTTGCCATCATGGTCTTGATCATTGCTTTGATTGCAAAATATCATATGCAGACAGTGCTGCATAATTAGTTTATAAGGAAAGTCGAAGGCGCAAGCAATCGGCAATCGGCTTTACAATGTTGCAAAATGACGATCTTAAAAACGATGCCTACACTTTGCTCAGAAGCCTGGCGACCGTCACAGTATGCAATTGACCATGTAGGATATGCCTGAGGTTGGCAGAAAACGCTTGTTTGCCTCAATTATATTAATGTATGTAAAAGCCAGTGACGTGGTCTCCTTTTTTCTTCGTGGCTAGCGTCCGCCCAAAATTAGTTACCCGGTCCATTTACAACTAATTTACAAGCTCTTTCGGCACTTTGGAACTCCTTGGTCGACAAGCCTCGGGGGATATGATGCGGCTGCCATTTGGACAATTAGATTTCGGTGTTGTTTTTGGCGTTAGGCGCAGCTGTGTCTCTCGTCGCGACACTGGGGACGCCGCGACTCGCCAACAGATGCTAGCTTACACCATGTTTTTACCGATCCACAGCCATCGCCACCACTCAGCGGCTCCTGAGAGAGCGAAAAGGCCAGCGACACCAGTCATCACTCAGACTCGTAAAGAAACCCAGGGATCAAAGCCATGGCCTAACGCCGTTTATAATTCAATCCATTCTCATCATGCTCGCCACCGGACACGGTGTAAAGCAGTTTATGACGGTGGACGGCCGAGTCCGGCGCTGTGTAATTCAGAGCGCCGTGTCGGCGGCTGAGGGTCTAACCGACCGTCTGACTCCGTCGACGGCCGGAGCGCCGCGCTGGGGCGCACCGCTCGGGACCCGAGCCGGCGGTCGTCTGTTAACTTTGAAACAGATGACGCGCCAGGCACGCCCTCGTGACGCATCTCCATATTCGATCGCGCCTGATGGGGACCCGGCGGGCCGGCCGGCGGCCCTAATGGGTGACAGCGCCGCGCGCGGCCGCATGGTCACCGGCGGCGCATGTCGCTAAACTAGTCTCATCCAACTGACGGAGCGCACCCAGGTCGCCGCCGCCGACGGCACGGTTAATGATGGCCCCTCTGCATACATAATGCGCGTCGCCGGCGACGCAAACGACGCCGGGGGAGCGTCGGACGTGACGGCGGCGCGGGCAGACCGGTAACGGCCCGGCCAGCTGTCCCCAGCCGGCGCCAACGAGCCGCTAACAGCCGCCCCGACTCAACTCACAGCCCACCACACACGGCGCCGCCGACTCGTGTCGGGAGCTCGGCCCAACTCGAGAGGGTCACATCTCGGAATGGGAAGGAGGGGGCACGGGCGAGAGGTGACAGTTGAGGCACCACGAGGGGAATGGTGCGGAAAGAAACATTGCGAAGATAAGTAGGGGAGAAAAATGTAAAAAGTATATCAGTAATTTTTTTTAACATATGGATTTAACTCTTTCTTGGCATGGAAGACAGATTGGAATGAACAGTAACTGATGAAGGATTGCCACCCGTTGCCTTCATTCACTTGACGTCTTTGCCGGAAGAACGGACACGATTTATCGCCAGTCCGCGTATTTGATAGCCCGGGTATATCATGACGATGGAGGCCCCAGACCGATTGAGCCATGAACTGGATCGCCGGACAGTTTTTTTTTTTTTTTTGTATGAGAGGGAGGAAGACCATACCGACAACACCCTAATGTCGACCTTATTCATCCTTTAAAGTTTAAACTATCAAACGGCTTCAAAATGGTCTCAATGGACGGAATGGGCCGAGGCCAGCAAGGCCGACGCAGAAACATGAAGTTAGTTACCAAAACTTTTCACAGAAAATTTGTAAACGAATGCGTGAGCTATGAAATGAATACGAGTAGGTATCTATGAGCTATGAGGATTGAGTAGGTATGGGTACTTGAGTAGGACTGCAGTGATTAAAGAACCTTGCCCAAGCTTTCCACCTGCGTGTTCTACACACAAACTGTGATGATGCCGTGAGTAAGACACCATTGCGACAGGTCAGATGATGTGTCCTCGCCGCGGTCCGCGGACTGTGCGTGTCCTGTATAACGTCACGCGGCGGCGTCACGACACTGGCGTCACGGCCGAGAGGGCGCCGAGAGGACCCACTTGGGCGCCGCGCCGCCGCCCCACCTGTGACGTAACGGTGACGACACTCGGCTCTCGTGTCGTCCAGAGTCTGCGGCTCTCAATGGTGCCGCCTCAGCCGGAGCGGTGCGGATTTCACACCGAGTTACATCGCGGCCCGGCCGTCTCTGATAGTATAGAGGTCAGCCGGGCTTGACACTCGGCTGGATATGTGTGAATATGGATGTTTCTTGCTTCGTTTATGGGCTGGCTTCTGCTGTTCGAATGGAAAGGCCTATGTAAGTATCTACATGAGATTGAAAGCTGAATGCTACAAACTTGCACTTTTTGCGTAAGGTATGTTTAACAATGTTTCAATCATAAAAAGAGATTGAGCTTCGTTCGAGAAGAAACGATGCTTTGCTGATCGTGCAGCATTTACGCCTCCAGCAGGTAGAACCGTCTTGTTGAGACGGTTACCTATGCATAGGTTCTCGCAATTGGTTATTAAAAAATAGTAATACGTGAGCTTGAAAATTTGTACTAATCCACATTAAGGTAAATACAATATATTAACATGACCCGGTAGGTATGGTTCGCACCTCACAACTATGAACGTGTCTCATGTTTTGGTTGTTTGCATCAACAAACTTTGAGACGTTTTCCCATAACAAGCATGCAATTACCACCCAGCGAGAAACGTGAACCAGATATCAGTGTTTCACTGCGATTCATTACCAGCGACGCATGTCCACAGCACACATGTCCGTCTTCCCGCCGAAAATGGCTCCTTTGCACGACGCCATGCACATTTTCTGTGATGAAGGATGCCACGGCTGTCCGTCTTCATTGATTAACAGATAGCGGCGGGCCCGGCATTGCTCTCCATGTTTGGAAATCGTCGGTGATTTTGGTGCACGATGCTAGACGGAAATGGTAAATGTCGTTTTCGCAAGTGGAACGTGTCCAAACGTATCGCTCGTTGTTAATTGAAAACGTCGGTAGCCTCGGCGGCCCAGTTAGACGTCATTTTAGTGGTGATGGCTAGGTCAGTTGAGGGGCAGCTACGTTTTCCCAACGGACACTGTCTGGCTCCGTCAACTTTCTTTTCGGGTGCAGCGTAGCGTTCGTAACAGCCGCTAAGGCGTGTTCACTCATTTAATGCACAGCTTATTACATGCAATTGCTTATGGACTGAACGAAAACATTAGTGGTGAATTAATTTATCATCTACATAGGTACACGCCAAGCATTATCGTCACATTTTACAAGATATAGTATCAGCCCTATATGTGAATTGAGACCAAATAGTGAAGTGAGAAGATGCGGGTTTTGTGTAAACTTCTTTCACCAAGTAGCATGTTAATCCATTGGCGCTCATTATTTGATGTTCACGTCAATCGGGTATAACATTACGAGTATACTGAAATTCGTTACTTTTGCACTTAGACAGTCCATAACAGAGTCGCTGGGTGCCATAGTTCTTGTTTGGTGCGTGAACGTCTCAGGCGACCATACGCGAGTAGCCCTATCGGGCTAGATGTTTGACACCTGTGTCTGTACTGGATGAACTTTGTCCATAATCGGGGGATTAAAGCATGTCAGCAGCGGCTGTCGGTCTCAACGCAACGGAAAATACATACCTATCTTCAGAGTCACCTCATGTGAATGAACATAATAGGAAGCATTTGTGAGGTACTCGAACCGATGTAAGGTAGACATTCGTAGATAATTCACAACTTCCTTTGACCTTTTATGTCGCGATTTCCATGAAACCGGATAGCAAAGATCGTCGGATAGCAAATCTGCAGAGAAGGTTAAATATGCGAAACTCAAACAAAATAACCAATATAAGCTCAAGCGAATGAACGATCTGTCAGGTCGACATAATGTAGAAGAATTCCAGGCCACCCAATGGTAAATTGAGAGTAAAGGATAAACACTAAGCGCTTAACACCAAACGAAAAACTTGTGATGCGTTAAACTGCTTTATAGCTCCAGAAACGTCTCTCTGATTTTCATTGCAGCCCTATGCGATTTCAATATATTTTCGCAAAAACACCATCAGGCAAACAATGCGGCTGGAGAAAGCGAAACATGTGACCTGCACAATAGAAACGAGAGCGACCGGTCTTCCACGATAGACGGATGGGAGCCGCCGAGTCTGACAACAACCGCGCATGGATATTTGATGCTTCAATTATTTGTCACGCTGCGTGGGCAAATCTCTCTTCATTGACTTACGTTCCATTAACAATTAACGCACTGCATCATAAATATGATGAACTGGCCTCACGGGCCCATCAGTCTCGCTCCGTTGACGCTCTATTAGCAGCCTGTAGTGGCACCACCCGTTAGTTTGATGACCAGCCCAGTTACGGCTCCATTCATACGGTGGCTAACGTGAGCGGCTGGTCAGGGCGGGCGACTCACGGAGCAGGGTCGGGCGGGCGCATCCGGCCCCCGTTCCCACACCGTTTACCGGATCGTTGCCACTTTTACCGCAAATTGGCGCGGCGGGGCAGCAAAAACCGTCATCGGCACGCGTCCACATCCAGTTGCAGATCAGCTGCGGCACGGCCGAGTTGCTGTGAAGGTCCAGCACTCAGCAACGGACTGAAATACCAGGGGTGCGGCACTTGGTACGGGAGGACCAGTGCAAACTGTGCAGTGCATAGAACGGTTGGACGTGTAGCGCAAGATACGGACCACGTGAAACAGCAAACAACTCGGAAAGATGGGTAAGGAAGATTCTCTTACTTAACGGGATGTAGCAATCTTTATTTTTAGTGACCTTGTGTAATTGTTAGCATTTTTCTTATCATATGTGTTATATTTATTTCCGTCTCCAAAAAGGTATATGGTAAGATGTGTTTTAAACACTTATATATTACAGAGATGGCCAATGGACTGTACTTTTTAACTTTTGGAATACTTTCAGTGGTTTGCCACTAAATATTCTAACCCGTTTCAAGATTGCAGGTGAAATGGACTAAATCGGACTTTTTCCCATCATGCCTACCAAACGGTGAAATTGCCGAGTTGAAACGAATAATGGGTTCGTAATTTCTCGAGTAACACTGCCGTCAGTTCCAGCCGGGCTCCACGGGCGCGTGCGTCTACCTCTACCTCTACTGCTGCTGCTGCTGACTTCGGCCGCCGTCAGCCTGGCGACCGAGGAGGGTGGCTACTTTGACGGCCTGCTGGACGGCTACAACGTCTCCCAGTACCTGGACTGGAGCGGCCGGCTGGGCGGCGCGCGGCACCGGCGGTCCCTGCGACCGGCGCGCAGCCGCGCCTTCTCCGTGGGACTGTTCGGGGTGCCGGACGGAACCACACTGAGGGTGAGCAGCGCTCCTTCACTCATGTCGCGACACCTGAGCATTGCTGGCATGTTTCATAGCTACAACTTATCCCCTAATTTCGTTATTGACCTGTTTAGCCACTGCTGCGCTGATGGCCTAACACTTTGTTTTCTGCTCCCAGTTTCAACTGCAGGTGATCCGACCGTTCGCCCAAGAGTATACCGACTTCCTGGGCTCTGACCAGTTCAAGACAGAGTGGTATATGAGTCTGCGCTACAAGGTCAGTGACCTGCAGGCCAACGTGTTCCGCCACTTCCAGGGCCCGGGCCGGGTCAACATGACGGCCGCCTACCACCTGATGAACGCCACCGCGCACATGATGCAGAACCTGACCTCGCCGATGACCGCTGCGGGGGACTACCCGCCGATGGCCGCGGAGGGGGAAGTCATGTCCGCGATGGAACAGGAAGGACAGGGGGCAGGTATGGCGCAGTACGGACAGTACAGCCCTGAGAGGTACTGGGACGACTATTACAGCTACCAGGGCGGCCGAGCCACCCCCTGGGACGGCTACGCCAGCCGACAGGGTGAGGTAGCCAACGAAGTCGGGGTGGAACCCGACTCGGAGCTCTTCGAGGCGCAGAAGTTCCGTATCGACCAGAAGATGAAAATCTATCAGAGGATGGAGAAAATGTATGGCAGGTGAGGATAACAGCCTCCAAGGGCCGGGGGAGCTAGATGGGCTTATTAACCCTCGCATGTGTGCGGCGTTTTCCAGCTTCTAATGTGTAGGGGGGGGGGGGGGTCGGTTGGACCCCCCTTGCCGTTTGGCCCCTGATCGAGCTAGAGCTTCGCGGAAAAAACGAGCATGTTGCCCGTGACGAGAGGAAGCCGATGATACCCAATTTTAAGGTCCTAGGTCATTGGTTGACCTTCCAGGTCAGGTCAATGACCCAAGGTCGGGAAAATCGGGACCTGTTAGAAAGTCGTAAAGTGTGGCTGCTAAGGGGTTTTTCGGGGTGCTGATCACGAATATCGTGTTAGTTTTGATCACAGATGATGTCTTTAAGCATTTAGACCAGGTCGGGTCAGGTCAGGTCAGGTCAACCAGTAGGCGTCGTGACGGGTATTAGTATTACGTGTCAACCGCCTCTGACAGCTTCGTAACATGTTACGAAGTCACCAAAACTACTTCGTAAATGTTCAAATGGTTGCTAAATTCGAATTCAGCTCCAAAAACTAGCCTAGAAACATGTAAAACTCGAAAAAGTGAACCGAGGTCACCAAAGGTCAATGACCTGACCTGACCTTCAGGTGACCTTGACACCCACCCTAATGCATGGGAGCAACATCAAATCACATGTTTGAACGTTTGAAACCACGAAAAGCTTGCAAACGCGCGGCTAATGCGAGCCGACATACGCGGAATCGCGATTCCGGCCAAACATGGTCTCGGAAAAGAGGTCACAGGTCAAAGGTCATTGGGGTCAGGGTCATGAAATTTTCAGGGTAGGTGTAAAATTGATCAATGCGAGGGTACTGAAAGTTTCGTCGCGATCGGCCGCTTTTTACGCGAGTTATTTGCGAAAAACCATGGGGGGGGGGTCCATCCGACCCCCCCTACACATGCGAGGGTTAAGCCATCATCGGGTCCCTAATCCCTGTAATCCCTGTTCCCCATCTAGCCCATCTATCGCAATACAGATCGGTAAATTCGTTGCACAGGATGGTCCTCTCATATTGACAGGCAACCGTGAAACATCAGAGCTGTAAAGACGAAACCGCTCATTGCCTCATCTCCAAAGATGTGCTGTTGTAGCGACTTCAACTCAGCTATGTTCCTCCTACTCTACCGGTGTCACTAAAATACATAATCCGAAGTCACTTATTAAATGTATTAATATCATCTCTATGACTGATATGATTAATACTTAACGTGTCTGCACGCAGACAAGGCCAGGACGGCTTCCAATGCGTGCTGCGGGCCATCTGCGAGGTGGCTGAGGCGCCCATGGAGGACGGCGTGCTCGGAGACGTGGTCAACCTGCTGCTCAGGTTAGTACCCCTCAGCCTGCTGCTCAGATCAGTACCCCCAACCTGCTGCTCAGGTCAGTGTCCTCAACCTGCTGTTCAGGTCAGGTCACCTCAGTACTGTTAAACGACCTCCCTTGCAAACAGACAGTGAATGCTCTTGAACGTCTCAGAGCTACCGAGCTCACTCCAGCAAACAATTTCCGTCTTCATTACACACAATTCAGACGAACACCCTGCTGACCTGCCGGCCCTGCTCTCACCTTGCTCAGTGCTCACCCTGTTCTCACTCCTTCTCTGTGCCTTCTGCAGCGCCACGGACGGCGTGGAGGAGCTGCTGCACGCCAAGTGGCTGGACAAGCAGTACCAGCCCTACCTGGAGGCGCACATGTTCGGCGAGATGCGCGGTGACTGCCACCAGAGGTACTCGGCCTGCGCTCTCAGCGTGCTCGACCCCACCTCGATGGGCTTTTTCTGAGCGACTCCGCAGTACGGCAGCGGACACGACTGATCCTGTGACGTCAGAAGATAGCGACTGAACCTATGACGACAGAATATGGTGGCAGTGCAGGGTACACATCAAAGAGAGGATGTACAAGTACACGAGAAGAGGAGAGGAGAGTGTTGGCGATCCAGCAATGATGGATTGATGTGATACGATGCAGCGTGTGCATAATTGTTAAACATATTTATCCATTGTTATCCTGTATCTTTTGTTATAACTGTAAGGCAGATATCCATTTACCATTTACCGTTTATACATATATAGCTGAGTTGATGCATATATTGTACATACCTATAGATGAGTTGCGTCATAAAGCTTGCTCATGCTCTACCGAAGAATACTCGCATTAAGATATTATGTCCTTTTCTATTTAATACAAAGAATGCATAAACATTTAACATTTAATGTCGAATGCAGTGCTGGTATGCTTTTAGAAATAAACGTAGTACGAACTGTTTCACAAATATACGGGCAGTGAAAAAAGGAAAACAATATGGCGTGTAAAATACCGTTACCTAGAAAGAGAGGAAATGGCGAAGAAAAGTAAATGAGAGAGATAGAGGAATCTATGTACAAATTAAAGAAAGATAAGAGGAAGAGAGATAGATAGATAGAGAGAGAGAGAGAGAGAGAGAGAGAGAGAGAGAAAGAAAGAGAGAGAGAGGGAGAGAGAGAGAGAGTAAGAGAGAGAGAGAGAGAGAGAGAGAGAGAGAGAGAGAGAGAGAGAGAGGGAGAGAGATAGAGAGTAAGAGACAGATGACGGTAATATATAGACATATTGTGCATGTTTTTGCACTAGCTGGTGTCCTCAGGCTTTTATGAACCTGGAAATCGTCCGCTTTAATCGGGAAGTTTCAAATATGTACATGAATATGAATATGAACATCGATGCAGTAAAAAAGATAAGCGTGAAATAAAAGATCGCACTCCGGCAACGCAAATGAAATATTGATCGCTTAGCGATCAAAGGAGGAAGCGCTAAGAAAAAATGAACGATCGGACACTCATAGTTCTTGGTCAGGGTGCAGAAAGACGTATAGTAGTATCACATTCTACATATAATGTCTGAACAGGTGCATGAATATTGGTGTACCTACTCGTAGCTACTCTATCCTGTACGATCTGATACCAATTGTTCACAAAATTGTATTTGTTTTTATGCGTGGGAAGACGTCTCAAAAAAGGTTAAAAAGGGTAAAAGATATGCAAATATAACTTAAAATGTATCAATCCTTTCGGAACTTCAATGCACTAAATTGTCCTAAAACTCTTAGCCTGACTTGTAGCGCACTTATGCCAGTAACCGATGATATTATGAGATGCAGCCCCTTTTATTCCCATTGCTGAAGAAACATATGTGTCGTGATCAATAAAAGGCTATCTTACGGTTTAACCTTGCTGAATATTTAAGTTTTCACAAATCTGCATTATAATAGCACATGGGAATTGCAGTATGCAGACGAAACAACGAGTTCTCAGCTCCGTCGCAACTACAGCCAGGGCTGCGGAGTCGATGGATTTTCGGCGACTCCGACTCCGACTCCGACTCCGGCTTTCAAAAACCAGCTCCGACTCCGACTCCGACTCCGGGCAGAATTGTCGACTCCGACCGACTCCAACTCCCGACTCCGACTCCGCAGACCTAGCAGGGCTGCGGAGTCGACAGATTTTCGGTGACTCCGACTCCAACTCCGGCTCGGGTTTCTAAAATCGACTCCGACTCCGACTCCGACTCCGGTCACAACTGTCGACTCCGACCGACTCCGACTCCGACTCCGACTCCGACTCCGCAGCCCTGACTACAGCAGTGTCATATGCCACACTGAGAAAACAGTGTCCCGATTTTCGGGCTCAGAGACCAGTTTTCGGGCTAATGTACCATATTCAAAACAGACAGCACATTTCGAGAATACTTTCTGAGCTAGCGCCACATGGGCTCATACGATCCCTTAAATCGGTATCATTGATCGCAGAAACAGAGCTCAGTCAGTACCCATTATCGGTGTCAAGCTCTAAAACTAGTCTCACTATGATACCAGTTTTCAGCCTGATCCCCATTTTCGAGCTCACCTGATTCCAGTTTGAGGGCTCAAATTGTGTGGTGAAGCCAATATTAGGGCTCACGTCATCGCTTTTCGGGGCTTTGGTAAAAGCTGGATTGCGTCAGCTGGCTGGCCAGCTGGCGACGCACGAAAGGTATTTAATTTTAGATATACCTAAGCGCGGTAGTAGGATGGACATAAATATTTCAAATGGCTTTAAATGAAAAATTGATTGGTAAATATTCATTCTTTTATATCTAGCATTGATATGTAAGAAGCTCTGCTAGCGCCACCATACGGCGCCAGCTGGCAAAAAATCCAGTTAATACCAGAGCCCGCTTTTCGTCCGATGCAGCCCCTCCTCCCCCCTCCCCCGTGTCCAGCAGCTGCGAATAAGACGAAGCCGCGGACAAACTTTTTTTTTTGCTCGGCCAGCCTAGCGCCAGTCTCGAGCGGTGGGACAGTTAACCGCCAATTTTGGCCGGGATGCATAAGTTACGTTAAACCGGTTTATGTTAACCCGGGAGCAAATAACAACGTGGGAGCCTATCTTAGGTGTGGCAAAGCTAACGGATTACTTACTTGTTGCCGAGGTGCCCAAAGAAGGTACTGGAACCGAAAACACAACATTGGTTCATGTATTTATTAACATTCATACACACAGTCATACTTGTGCAAGGTGTCAGTGTTCGGTTGTGGGGTGTAATAGCCAGGGAAAAAGTTCTATGAACTGAAAAACCCGGCGCCTATTACTTCGCAACATGGTTGTGTATTCAACATGAACTGCAAGGAGTGCAGACGACATTGCCTGTGCTAACTTAACCCGCGCACCGACGGGGGTCTGCGCCAACTTAGTACCGACGGGGGGGGGGCGGATGACCGCCCCCCCCTGAGATCTCGAGAACGAAGCAAGATAGCGACAAGCGGTAAACGGCATCGGATACGCACGGACAAGGTCTACAATTTTTACTAAGGTCATTTTCAGGTCAGGTCAAAGATGACGTCACAGGGGTCGAAAAAGTCAAAATGGCGGCGCTAGATATTGAGAGGGTTTTTCTCGAATAACTTTCGAAGTAGTCAAGATAGGAACAAACTAAGGGCATCATCGTGATCCTCTCGTCAATCTGCATCGAATGATATATATGTTGACCTCGAAAGGTCAAGGTCAAAGGTTGACCTCAGGTCACGTGACCTCGAGGTCATCATGTATATCATTCGATGCGTCTTGACGAGCTGAACACAATGAGACCATCCGCGCGGCTGTATCTTGTTCCTGTAAGGAGTTATTGGCAAAAAACCTTTGGTGACCTTTGATGACGTCACATGACCTTACAGCTGCCTAACAGCAAAACAGACCTCAAGGTAGTGAAGGTTGATCGTATGTGAAGTCATGTATGGTATATGGGGCCATTCCGACCCGTTTTAGTGGTAAAAACAGGGAGTTGATTTTTCCCCCATTGACTTATAATGGGGAGGTCGCGAAATTGACCTGACCTTAGGTCACCGACATCAAAATTCCGAGATATACAAATTGTAGCTACTAATGACCTAATAACATCCTGCGACTTTCAAAGGCCTCCGACATCTACTGTAGCTCTGGCACGGTGACAAAGTTGCAAAAAAGTGACTTGAGGTTGGGTCATTCAAAGTGACCTGGTGACCTGACCTTAAAAGTTAGGAGGTTCAAACTTGCACACCATGTGTAAAATTGATGAGAGAATAGTCATACCAAATTTCGCGGCGCTACGCGCCGCGGTTTTCCCGCTATCCGCGAAAAACCTCAGGGGGGGGCGGATATCCGCCCCCCCCGTCGGTGCGCGGGTTAACGTCTCACGGGCAGCGCCGCGCTCTGACACCTTGGTCCCAGAAGCGGCGGCGTTTCTGACCGCAAATCGCCGGAGAGCCGGTCGACGCCGTTGAGGGGACTGAGCAGGCCGCTGCCAGCTCCACCTTCACGTCCGCGCGGCGCAGCTCGGTGTGCGGCGGCGGCTCATCGCGCGGGCCGCACCCGTCCGTCCGCTGCACGAGCCGCTTTTCGATCCGACAGCGCAACACCGGCACGCCATTGTGCTGGCTGAGCGGCGGCAGCGGCACGTAGGCAACAAAACAGTAGAAATCGATGGGCCTGGATCGGCGTTGCCAGCAACGCCGGCAGCGGCGCGGCGGGAGGCGCCAGTGCCGCCGTCGGGGACGTGTGCCCTTCGCTGCGCTCATTCGAGTTGGCCGGCCGGCCGCGCGGCGTAGTCCTTTTGACACGGTGCGAGAAGAGCCGGATGAAGGTGGACTTTTTATTGGCGTTGCTGGTGCTCACGCCGCCGGCGTCCAGTTTGGGCGGCAAGTCCGAGTACCAGGAGTCGGACAAGTCCCGCGCGAACGCCGCCAGCCGGTCGTCGTCACTGCTGGCGGCGGCCCGCCGACGGCGCTGCCTCAGAATCGGACGAGTCGGTGGTACTGAGCACCTCGCGGGACGGGTAGCTGGGAGTGGGCCGGCCGCGGCCCCTGCCAGGCCGCGCCACCTTCACCGGCGCAGCCGCCTTCAAACTGCCCTTGCTGGGCGGCGGGTTGGTCGGCGGAGGCGGCAGCGGTGCCTCGACGTCAGTCCGAGTCGCTGTCACTGGGCGGCCGCCGCGGAGACGGCTTCTGTTTGACCCGCAGCCGGCCTGGGCCGGCTCGGCGCCCTCGGCCGGCGGCGCGCGCCGTTTCGAGCGTTTCACCTTTTCACTGTTACTCTCGCCTGGTCCTCAGCGTCGAGCGGCTCGGCGCTGTTCGGTTTCATGTGGCCCATGCTGCTGGGAAACTCGGGTGGGGACAGCTTTCTGACTGGAGTGCCGTCGAAGATGGAGGAGACGGGGGTGCTCGCAGAGTCCTTGCCCAATGCCCATGATAGAGCCGAGGCTCCACTGGACGCCCAGCTTAATCGGGCTATCGCCGCCCTCCTTCTATGGTGGATTCTTCGGCCCCCTACAGCCACTAGGGCCATCATATACTCCCAGATGGCGGCACCTAGGGGATGAGGGGGGGGGGGTGTGTCTGGGCCACTTGTCCACCTCGTGGCGTCGCCAGCGACGCCTGCGAGTCGGAGCAAATGATTATGGGGTCTTC